TTACTTGAGACTTAGGTTTGAGGGCAGGTTTGGACACAACTGTGTGCAAAATCTATGACCTCATGTACTGGATGTCTGGCTCAGCCTCAGCCTGTGGTCTTGTAACCGAGAAGCCACTTTGTGCCTTCTTGTTCGTGATCAGGGAGCTGCTGCTCACTCTTGCTCTGCCCTTGCCACCTCCTGTAGTGTTTGGTGAGTAGGTGGATGGGTTGGAGTAGTCTCTGTGGTGCCAGTGTCACTTAGCACTCCTCTGAGCTGGTAGGAGAATGTCTGCTTTGGTTGCTGTTCCTCAGCAGGACCTCAGCCTTGGCAGGGTCTATTTGCTGAACACCCACTTCTGTCCAGGGCTGTGGGAAGTGTGAGGCTTTGCATTGATGTTACATGAAAAGATCCAGCTGTAGAACAGCAAGGCCACAGCCACTGGGGTAGGTGCTCTTGGGACTTAACACGTGGGGCATGCATAGCTATAGAATTTAAGAGAAGTAATTTTGATCCTTTAATTTTGCCTCTTGTCACAAGAGACTAAACTTCCCCCATATATTTTGTTTACATCAAGAAACACTGCATTTCTTTCATTTAGAATGCATGAACAAGAGTGGGATCACAGTGACAATAAAAATTAGACAGTGCTGCAGGAATAGAGAAGCACTATGTGCTTGTAAGTGGGAATGAAAGTAAATAAAACAGAAGAGTTAATGGTATTGAGATTGGCTTATGGAACAGCTGATGGAGGACCCATCAATACTAAGATATTAGTTAATCTTTGTGAATATAAATGAGTCATTTTTTAGTCTTACTGGCACTTCAAGCTGGCTGATTGTTTGTCTAAATGTTCATGGATCCAAGTTATTTCTAATTAAAATGCCCTGAGAAAATATATAATGCATCACCTAGCTTCAAACATACTTGCAGATGCAAGCATGTTTGCAAGCATTCTAGCTTCTCATTTCCTTGCAGATGATAAGCAAAGTAATTAAGTGCTTATCAAATTTGCACTGTTTATTTCTCTTTTCTATTAGCTATTATTACCTCTTTCTCCCTTATACCTCTTAAATCTTTCCATCACCTTTCTCTCCTCTCAAGTGTATATAACTATTCCTGATTATAAGAGGGGAGTTTTAATCATGTACCAGTCAACACAGTAAGTGGCTGGTAGTATTTTGTTGTGCATGGCATTTCTGACTTCAGGTAAAATTTATTATTTTTATTATGGTTATTATAATTCTTACATTTTTTTAATAATTCATAGGAGTAGCAGAAGTGCACAAGTGTTTCTTTAATCAGGTCAGAAATAATCATGATGGGATTCTACTTCAGCCCAGTAAAAGGTGGAGGTTTTTGCAGCGTATCTACATTTTTGCTTATCTAATGGGATTTTACATTGTATTTACAGAACAACAACTGTATTTTGAAAAGGCAGACTGTGTTACTGCTTACTTAAGCCTCGAGAACTGAGCAGCCCTACTGAAATGCATGCTGCTGGTTGTGGAGCAAGTATTTGGGCTGAATATTGCATGTTTTGGGCTTTTGTTATAACAAAATGTATTATTATATTACAATACACTTGAATACATTACACTAGATACAGGAATTTTCACCACAAGTTTGTGTTTCTGCCACAATTTTATTGCCTGCATCACCTGGAAGGTGGTATTGTTCATTGCCTAGAAACTAGGACTCAGATTTCCATGGTTGTCAAAGGATGCACCTTGCCCAGAAAATTTAACTGCTCAGTTTTGTATAGAAATATGCTGTGGCTAGATTTCTGTTACCTTTTATCATTCCAGCGTTACATGGCTTGAGGATGTGACACAATTAACAAAATCACTAATTTGAAATATGGGTTAAATGTCTGCAGCATGTCCATCTCGAGCAAACATGGCTCCCAGAGAGGAAGGAGGAATTGTTTAATGGCTTGTACAGCAATAACAAATTGGAAGTCGCTCTCTTTCCCCACTGCCCCATGTGCTGAGTTGTTTGTGTGAAGCCAGAGCACATCTTGAATCAGAGCACCTCTTGTAGCTTTTGTTTCCTGTAAGCAGTTGCAAAAATCCCATTCTAGAGAAGCACTCTTTTCTGTTGCTTGTGTTACTGTTCTGTCTTACAGTGGACGAGCTTTACAAAATGGATTTTGCCCACTGAATGCAACTAATATTTGCTAGTCTAGTGGAGAGCATAGGATGCTGACAACAAAATTGATTCTTAAGGCCATCTAATATTTTTGCATGAAATATTTGTTTTCAGCTGTTGCTGGTTTTGCTGGACTTTGTATTAAGGCTGTGTGTGTGCATGTGTAAACCAAGTAGAATGAAAGTCTGAACAGCTGCTTGAGGAACTGGAGCTGTGTTGAAATGATCTTAACAGGCAGGTCTGAGGAAGGGCTGCTGCTGCTGAGAGGAGCTGTCCTGTCCCCTTCCAGCCATATTCCCAGCTGTTCCCTTGTGCAAGCAGCAGTGCTGGGGGATGACTGTGAGGTCGAATTAACCCAAAACGCACTCCAGCTTCCACCTGCCCCATTTCTGCTGCTTATCTCACAGTGCGGTGCAACAGGGGCTGGTGCTGGCCCAGGGGAAGTAGTAGCCAGAAGCAGAAGCTGGAGCAGAAGGTGACAAGGAGGGGGGACCATGGCTGACCACAAAGCAGCTCTGTTCTCAGCAGCAGCTCTGTATTTGGTTGGGCGTTGTGTGATTGTGAGTGATAACCTTCAACGGGTGTGAATGCCTTGATAAAGCTGTGCATGCAAAATAAGTTCCTATTCTGGACACAGCAAAACCTCATTTCTCAGAAAATCTGTATGATAAATAAGGTAATATTTTGATGGAGATTTTTAGCCTTGGTCTGAGCAGTTGACACAGCAATGCCCCTTACTGCACTCTGGGAGCTGTGGATTTTACAGCGTGTTGGCTGACAAATCTGCAAACCAATTAGTTTTCATAAAAGTCCAAGCCTTCACACTTTGACCTTCACTGCAATCTTACAAGTGATCAGAATATAGATTTATAAATTGTGTGCAATTGCCTACCCAATTCGTGCAACCTAATGATACCACAAGAGTTACTCTTCTTAAATTTGTTTCTGAATTTAGAATTGCCCAATTAGGGTAATTGCCCAGTTAGGGCAAACTGCTACATTTGTAGTGGTATTTTATGGGATTCTGTAGGAAAGGGAAATCCAGCCTGTCAGCTTTTAGGTGAAGACAAGGAAAACTTGCTGGTCCAACTCCCTGTACCATCAGCTTGGTCTTTCTGAGAGCTTTTATAACTCCCACCCCCAGGAGAGACAGATACGGAACTAAAGTACTGTGTTAGGATTTGAGGAATGCTGTGGGACAGAGCTCTGGCTGCTGTAGTACAACACAACTTTTTGTGGATGGGAGTGATGCCAAAGGAAGCAGAGTCAAGGAATCTGTGCCTGAGATAGCAGGCATCTGAGACTTTGCTTCTGTAGAGTGGGGGCCTTGTTAGATTATCCTCATCACTCTGGAATAACCACCTTTATGTTCTTGGGAGATCCCTTGCTATGAGCGAGATCCTTGGATGAATTAGAAGATGCTGTGCTGCTGCTGTGGGTGTTGTGCATGCGTTGTCACCAAGTACTGGGGCTTTGGTAGCATGGATTGTTGATCTCACCGTGGACCTCTGCAGGAATCTGTGTTGGTAGAGGCAGCCTCTGGGTAAGGCTGTCTCAATGTTCAACAGGAAAAATAGGCTTCCAGGAAATAGAGAATAAATACTTGAAAGTATTGTTGGAATCCAGAAAATGCTGAAGAATCGTTAAGCAGCATAGAGCAGTAGTCGTAGCATCCCTCTCCATTGCTGCTCTAAGAGCAGGCTTGGCTGTAGCTAGGGGTGGGTGGACTTTGTAGTGGGGAGAGGAAGTTGGACGAGACCAGAGGGTACAAACTCTTGTTGTTGTTCAGAAGATATAGGAAGATCACCTTATGAAACAGTTGAGTGGGTTTTGGATTTGATTTTCACAGAAACATGCAAAGAAAAACCCAGCAAAGGCAAGCAAATGGAAAGGGTGGTAAACAACAACAGTAAATAGAAGTGCAGAAACTCTATCCTAATATATTTTTTAATGAAAATAATTACAACAACACCACAATAAATGATAAATGGGCCTTTCTCCTTTTCCTTGCTTCTTCCACAAAAATGTTCTGGAGCTTTTTTGGTTCAGTGGTAAATGAATATTGACCTAAGTGATGTCTCAAAGTCCTTCATACTATTCTTTCAAGTTTTTTATTGTGTTTAGAGAACCAATTGCTTTTAAGCTGCAAAACTAGAATGCATGTTTTTGGCTTCTGTAATCACATTCAAATAAGTGCTTTTATTACCGTTTCCATTGTTTGAATATATTTTACTTTATATTTTCTTTCACATTTCTTATCAATAACAGCAGCTTATTGATCCTGTGAATGAGAATAAATTCCATTCTGCTAAGAAATAATTTCTTTCTGGCTTTGTGCTGTGCACTTTTGTGTTTTCCTTTTTTTTTTTTTTTTTTTTTTTTTTTTTTTTTTTTTTAAATACTTATAATAGGGCCTGTTCCTACCAAAAGAGACACAATTAGTTTAGCTGACTTTTGGGTCCTTCCATCAAGTAATTAAATAAGTGTTCTGAATATACAGCATTTTGTACACATTTTGAATACAGAAATAGAATAGATGAACAAAAATGCTGGTTCTGTTGAACCAGCTGGTCCAGTTCTGTTGAACAAACAAAAATTCAAATGGGAAAAATGTCTGTTGGTTATTGTCATGTTCCTATAGAAGAGCTTAGGCTAGTCATGGTGGAAGTATATTCTTCATATCCAACCCTTCAAAGGTTAAACAACATAACAAATTTCACTGAAAGGCAAAGAGTGTTTTTAGGATGAGACACTCTTAAATATTTTAATATTCTCTGTAGAGAATTGTTAGCACTCTAATAAATGTTCTTGTAGTCATTCTAGCCTACACTCAATCCCATTTCTTACTTCTGTGTGTATTTATTTTCCAGGCAGCAGCATCTGTCCAAAGCCCTTAATACTGCCTAGAGCTTGTGCAGCAGGTGCCACAGCCAGGCTTGTGGAGCAGAATGTACGCTACGAAGCGGCTCAGGGAATAAATGGAAGTGTGCCACTCAAACAGTCCCCACGTTCAGCTGCAAGTCCAAAGCCACAAGGTAAGTACTCTCAAATATTTTTGTTAGGGAAGTTGTTCTCTCAGACTTCTGAGAGCAGCAGAGCACCTTGAGACAATTGTATTTGAAAGAGAGAAAACCATGGGGCATAAGCCTGCTACTGAAATACAAATGTTCTGTAAATGCCTTGTGATTCTGTAATTTCTGGCTTATTTTTCAAAACTATTGCTGTATTTGAGCTGGGAGGTTTGGACACTATTTTTAAACTGGAGTGTTTGACAGTCTGGCTTCAAGGCAGGAATGGTGAGAAGATATTCAGGGTCTTTGGAGTTCTAGCAGAGATTGAGAGGTGCCTTCCTGCAGGAGTATGTGGAAAGATGGGAACTTCATGTTTGTGCAGCAAAAGCTGACAGTAATGTACACAGACTAGAATTAGGTCTCCTTTCTCTCTGCTTCTGTCCATAAATATCTTTACTCTTAAAAGTGAAATAGATCAACCTGTGTATATATATATACATACATAATTTATATATACACATTTTATATGTGTATATGTATAAATATCTATGTATAACCATACATATATAAAATCACTATTTAAGTTGACTTAAACCATTTTTTATGTGGTCTTCTCAGTCATGTTGTTGATTCTGCTGTGGCTAATCACAGCTAAGAGTCACTACATTCCAGAGATTTTGAATTCAAATCAAATCTGGACTGATATCTTTTAGAGGTGACAAGCAATAGGAACTTTCATTATTTTAAAAGTTTTTTAAAAAGTGAATTTTGAGGACATAAATTACAATGCTGCTCAGTGCATTGGATTCTGAGACACAGTGCTAATAAGGCATAAATGAGAATTACTTATGGAAAACTAGATGTGGAGGGCTGACCCCGGCTGAATGCCAGGTACCCACCAAAGCTGTTCTATCACTCCCCTCTTCAAATGGACAGGGGAGAGAAAATATAACAAACGGCTCCTAAGTTGAGGTAAGGACAGGGGGAGATCACAAACTGATTACTATCATGGGGAAAGTGTTGAATTTATTAGTAACCAAAATCAGAACAGGAGAATGGTAAATAAAACAGATCTTTAAAACATCTTCCCCCCCACCCCAACCTCATCCCCAGGGTCTGTGTCCTTTCTCCAGTGGCAGAGGGAAATGGGAATGGGAGTTAAGGTCAGCTCAGCACAGGTTGTTTCTGCCACTGCTCAGGCAGAGGAGTCCCTCCCCTGCTCCAGCTCAGGGTGCCTCCCACGGAAGAGTTTTCCACGTGCTTCTTCAGCATCTGTCCGTCTGTGTGCTACAGTTCTTCATGAGCTGCTCCAGATGAGTGGAGGGTGCAGCCCCTCAGGCACAGCCTGCTCCAGCATGGGTCCCCCAGAGGGTCACAAACCCAGGCATCCACATGCTCCAGTGTGGGCTTCCCCTGGGGTCACAGCCTTCTCTCAGGCATCCACATGCTCCACCACAGCTCTCCTCCAGGGGCTGCAGGTGGATCTCTGCAGCCCCATGGACCTCCGTGGGCTGCAGGGGCACTGCTGGTTCACCATGGGCTGCACCATGGGCTGTGGGGGAATCCCAGCTCCAGCACCTGGAGCACCTCCTGCCCCCCCTTCTGCACTGACTGCAGTGTCTGCAGAGTTGTTCCTCTCACGTATTGTCACTCCTCTCGTCTCTGAGCACAATCATGTCTGTACAATAACTTTTTTTCCCCTCTCAAATGTATTATCACAGAAGTGTTACTCCCTTCTCTGATGGCTCAGCCTTGGCCAGTGGTGGGTCCATCCTGGAGCTGGCTAGTATTGGCTCTGTTGGACATGGAGGAAGCTTCTGGCAGCTTCTCACAAAAGCCACTCCTGTAGTCCCCCCAGCTACCAAAAGCTGGTCCCACAAACCCCATAGTAGAGCACATGTAAATCAGGTACAGAAACTAGAATCACACGGAGTCATCATGTAGTGGAGTCAAAAATATCTGTATCACTCAATGGGGAAATACACCTTGAAGAATTTTGCATCAGTCCTGAGTTTGTCTTAGAGCTAAGGGCAGGAAGAAATTTTTAGAGGTGTCAAGAAAATTTTGTTTACTTCAGGAGAATAAAAGCAAAATAAAGCTGGGTTTTTTTGTGTGTAATTTGTTTTTGTAGAACATGTGCCCGTATTGTTAACTAAACTAAGAATTTTTGCCAGTCATATGTAAACATTACTTATCTGAGGAGCCTTCCTAGGTCTCTGGAATTAATTCTCTACAGCAAAGGGAATGTGTTCTTCCTAGGAAAAATATTTTAGAAGTCATTAATGGATAAATAGAAATGTGCTATCAATAAAAATATTTAAAGTCTTTCAAAAACAAAGCCAACATAGTTATTATAAAATTTTAGCTATTAGATAAATTAGGAGTTGTATATTATTGGACCCCATTCATTCAAGTTACACAGCTGTTGTTGCTCTTTCCCAGCCAAGTTTCCTTTTGTTTGTCAATATTGTGTACTCCAAAATGTGCCACAGCCAGGAATAGTGTGGTAGTCTAAGAAATGCAGCTGTGTAGATGAAATTCAATAATACTGTTGTAAATAGTATTTTGTGTCTCCTCTGTTCATGGCTCGCTCTCCATTTATGAATATTAAATATGTGCATCAGATGGAAGTTTTATACTGCATCTTTTGTTTGGCTTTTTATTGAATCGAAGCAAAAGAAACCAGAATTAATGAGAGAGGCATTTGGGAGACTAAATGTTCTAAGCAAACTAGGCTGCTCTGGTTTATTCGTTTAAAAGTAGCCACTATTTTTTTTTTAAAGTTTTAATGTGGAGGTACAAAAATGTTTTTGGTTTATAGCAACAGGAAGCATTTTTCCATATGATAGTTCTAGTCATGCAAATACTAAGTGGCCTTTAATAGTGAAAGGAAATAAGATGACAGACCTGAATTGTACTGCCAGTGTATTTGGTTGAGGAGGAACTAACTGCAAAATGACCTTCATCCAACCTACCAAAATAATTAAAACGAGAGATATAAACATGACTTTGAGGTTGTGTTGCAAGTGTGGTACAGTCATTTTCAGTAAAATTTGCTTTATTAAGGGAAATAAAGGTTTAATATTGAGGAAAAATGTTCAAAATCTTGCACTTCAAGTGAACCCTGTACTTTTGTCTGTACTTGGTCTCTGAGAAGTAGTGTAAGTATTTAGAAACAGTTCACTCAGGGTAGCTAAGTCAAGTGAATAAAGTTCTGCATGCAATCCAATATAAAATTATTTATTTTCATTTTAATTTTCCCCCCTGGCATTTCAAGGAGTAAAAAACCTGTCTGCTGTAATAGCAGAAATTTTGTTGTCCACTAATTCCTTCCATCAATTTTTGTTCCCCAATAATTCCTTCCATCAATAAGTCAGCAATTCATGTGTCAGATTTCTGTCTGGAGCAGAGTTTGATTCAGAAAAATATTTGGAAAAAATTTGGAGCAAAGCCTGAAACTGGCTGAAAAGCTGATGAGGGAGTTGAACAAAGGAATCAGGGCTGCAGAGCAAAAGCAGTCACAGTCTGTGTGTCTGTACCAGCTGTGAGATATGCTGCTTTGCCTTTGCACCAATGCAGTGCATTCCCTCATAAAATGGACTGATCCACACTGGGGGCAGTCAGTGGAAATAGCAAAATATGCTACCACATATAAATCCACAAGAGAGGAAGAAAATTGTTAAATAATTTGAAATTTGTCCTTGCCTACAAATATTTGGGTAGTGATCTGAACCTTGCAATAGCAGAGCTCATGTAGAGTGACATGTAAAAATTTACTATTTTCCCCTAGTTTCTCCTGTTCCTTGCTCTTTGATCCTCTTGCGTCAGTTCTTTTATGATGTCAAATTGCTAAATACTGGGCACTGAAACTGCTGCCTGTACCAGGCAGTTTTAGTGTAGGATGCAAAATATGTGGAAATGCCAACACTTCTTCAAAGCAGTGGAGTGCCTTGTCAGTTCAAGACTGTGCATCAGTTACTCATTTAAATTTTTCTAATGAGAGCCTAGGAGTACTTATGAATCTCCTGCTGAGGCTGAAGAGGCATTTTTGTTTGGGTTGGAGGTGATTTTTCACTCCAAAAGATGGCCTGGTTTGTGCTACTGTGAAATGATAAGGATGCAACAGATTCAACATTTAAACTTTGGCAGTCAATTTTAGCTGCCTATTGGCTGTGTAGCATGAATCCTGTCTTCCTTTCTCAGTTATTATATAGTCTGTGGATAAAAGTTGGCAGTGGTCTGGGCTTAAAAAAAGCTGAAACACCTCTTAAAGGTCTCAGATACAGATTGTACTTCCCTAGCAAATTTAATTTGTACAGTGAAAGGTGAATTGAACTAAAACTGGCAGCTGTTCCTAGGTAGGTTTCTCCAGTCTTGGTGATCCTTTAAGAAACCTGCTACAATGTCTCTTTTATCAACAAAACTAACAAATCCCCAAGTTATCTCTGTGAAGAAGACAAATGAGAGGACAAAAGACATTTGATGATTATTGGTCTTCTCTCTGGATATACTATTGAAAGATTCTTGTGGTGTGGACTGAAAATGTGGAAACACACATCTCAAAGGGAAGATGAATTTTTTCTTTCTTTCTGCTGTGTTTAATTTACTGCTTATTTCATATTGTTCTTAAGAGTATAAATCTTTGGCATCTATTCAGCTGTGCTCGTTTGATATTCCTGTAGGTGATGGAGCATGCAGGGAGGTGAAGATGGATGACTCAGCCAGGAGAGCTGTAGTTGCTTACCACAGGAACTTTTAACTTCATTTTCATTGAGTCAAGGCATAGCAGCATTTTTAACCATTGAACGCATTATACTTTCTAAGACAAGAGATAAATGACCTTTGCTGATAAGCTTTGGAGTCTGCAAAGGTGGTTGTACCTTTTGAGCCATTTATATAGCATTACCTGACATTTCCTTATGGATATATGCAAAGTTGAATGCACAGCCAGGCACTGCAGCATAAATTTTGATTTTGGCTAGTGGTGTACAGTATCTACTAACTCAGTATATAGAAGGGTTTTCTTTGGGCAGAATAAGCAGTTCATATCTCCTAATGAGCTCAAAATTCTGCAGTACAGAGGCAAGAGTATTTATAGACTCAAACAGAGCTCTGTATTATTCAGGTTACTACAATAGGGCAGTCTTTTCTCTTTTTTCCCTCCTTAAGATCCTTGCTCTGCACACACTGAAAAATAATCTGATTAAAACAAAACACTACAGAAGTACATTGAGGAGAGAATTAATAGAATTTGCTTTCCATAATCCCTGTTAACAAGGCTGACCTTCCAGGAAGGTTTGAGGGTTGTGGATTGCTTTTTTTTTTTTTTTACGCTACTGATTCTTTTCTTTCCATTGATCTTGTGACTGTTCTTTCTCCACTGCACTATTTCTGAACCATACACTAGCTACAGCAGCAGCTGGTAGGGGAAATGCTGTCTGCTAGGTGCTGATAGGGAGTAAGGAATAAAATATTTTGTCTAAGTGAGTTGGCTGTTTGGTTTGTGGTTCTCTTCTGAAGACATTAAAGTGATTTTCAGTATATGGGGATTGTCCAGTTTGACAAGAGGTTCCTCATTGCTTGCCATGCATAAATGCTGCTTAGCCGTGGTTTTTCAGCTGCAAAAGTTTGTGACACTTCCACAAAATGTCCTAGAATTTGATTTTTGTCCCCATGGATCCAGTATAAAAATAGCTACCCACTAATTCCTTCTGCTTTATTGGTAGACATTAATTCCCTCAAGTTTAGTAGTTTTAATATATCCTTGTGAGGATATTAACATTTCATAAGATGTACAGAAGAATTGAAGAGATGTACGAGTCCATTACATAAGAGAACTCACAGGACTGGAGGTTATACAGAGTCCATTGCAAGAGCAAGAAATGTTCCTACAAATTGCTGTGGTGCTGGCCAGCAAATCCACTCCATGTCCCCTTTGCTGTCCACCTCCTCCCAGAGGGGATGGCAGTGCTTTTGATCAATTATGTGTCCTGCTTTTCCCCAGCCTGCTTGTGTCTCCTTTTCTCCTCTGTCCCATGGCCTTTGTCAGCACAGTGAGCTATTCAGTGCTCGGACAATTATTGGGTGCTCGCTGGCCTCATTCTGCCAGGCCTTGCCTGAGCTCCTGGGAAGATGGAATTTGGGGAAAGCTGTTCCACTGCACTGCAGCCGAGCACTGCACAGGGCTTCTCAGGAGGGACTGCACTTACTGCAGCTGAAGCAGTTGCACAATTTAATATCTGCTTGTTTCAGGGTTGCAAATAACAAATTGCAAATATTTCAAAAGAGCATTTTGAGTCATCTTCTATACTGCATCCTTCCCCAAACTTGCTTTTTTTGCTTGTGTTAATAAATATAAAGCTTCTGAGGACTGAGGGTGCACATATGTACAGTAAAGGCATCTGACCTACAGTAATTGTCTTCCTTCTCCCTCTGATTATTTCATTTATCAGGCTTTGCAGTTGATATGATTGAAGTCTAAAGCTTTTTATGGGAAGTTCATTTCTGCATAGAGTCTCTCATGGTACTTTTCAGACTGTAGTGATCACTGCAATCCCATTAAACTGCAATTAGGTTGTTGGAAACACAGACAAATATTACCTCCTGTATTACCTATAAATTAAATGAAGGGAAGAAATTAATAATTGCCCTTAATTGTGTGTTTCTTCAAGTTTATCACCATCTATGATTAGCATATTTGAAAGAATTTTTTCAACATCCCTTTCAAATGTTGGTTGATGCCTTCCTCTGCTCCCACAGTATGTTTTGGGGATGTGTGTGGGAATGAACAGGTATGCCTGGGAATTAAGGTCCTTTTCCATCAAGGCTGTCCTTTTGATGGAGCTGGACATTCATTGCTCCAATGTGGAATGCATTTGGGCCCAGACTGTGATGTGCTTTTGTTGCCCACAAATGCTGCATGGTTGCTTAAAGATTTTAGTGCTGTGACTTCAGTTGCTTTATGTGTCACCTTGTCTTTTGTGTTCTAGTCACTGCTGTATTAAGCAGTAGATGATCATCAACAATCTAATTAGAAGGATTTATGGTAAGAATGGGGAAAAAGCAGGAGAAAAATATGTTTTCAGGGGGGAAGGTTTTCAGTAGTATAATTAGACAAAGGTTCAGTAAGTAAGGGAATTTTAAAGCTGAAGGCAAATATCTTTTCTACTGATAATTATTATTGAGGTCACAAGGGATAAGGTAAAGAATGAGAGCACCAGAGTTTTGGGGCAGCAATTTCCTTCATCTTTCCTTTGTGCTTAATTCTTTTTTATTACAAAACCTGCAACCATAAGCTTCTCATACATATTTCCTACAGTATACTATGAAAACAAACACACAGAAGGAAAACAAGAAAAAAATTCTAGCTTGTTTAAAGTAGCATATGGTTCAGCTTTTAGTCAAGAAATATAACAAGATCCCTAATACCAAACAGTGCATGAAGAATTAGATGAAGTCCCTGTATTGTAAAGCAGCTTTAAGGTTGAATTTTAAGGTTGAAGCCAAGAGTATCTCTTTTTTGTTGCTACAATGAGTTCTTTCTGCAAAAATCTAATTTGTGAGAGTAACCTGGTCTTGCAGAAAGTGTCCCTGCCCATGGCAGGGGGTTTGGTACTAGATGATCTTTAAGGTCCCTTCCAACATAAACCGTTCCATGAATCTGTATAGAAACTCAAAGAAATTCAAGAGATTGATTTTTGTTGTTTTTTGCAGTGCCTCCAAAGCCAATTCACCTGCAGAAGGCAACATACCAAACCCCTAGGCATAAAGCTTTAACAAATCAGAAACCAAGAATGGAGGAAGAGACACCTGCTGCTGTTTCTAGTGTCACAAAGGAAAAGTCCAGTAAAGTGTCAGATCTCATCAACCATTTTGAGGGAGGCAGGTATGTAATAGAATTTGAATTGGTTTGTAACTCTGTTTGTTGTGTGGGGATTGTTGGAACTTGAAGCTGTTGATGCCTTGTGAAGGCTGACCTAGAACAGAGGCTAGATGGAGTTAAAGAATAAAGTAGGTATTTATTAGAAGGCCTCAATGGATACACCTTGGGCAGTACAAGAGCCCAACTCAAGATTAGTCTAAAATGGTCACAAAATGGATGACAGGTCATGGGGTCTCACACTTCTATAAGTTCTGGTCCATTTCCATATTGGAGCTAATTGTGCAATTATAGCTTCAGCTTATTAAGTCCCATCCTTCTTGTTTTCCTCTCTTCAGTCCACTGTTGTTTATTCTCTTGGGCCTGAAATTTGCATCATTTGTCCTTGTTCCCAGCTAGAGAAGGAATTGTTTTGTCTCCCTACTCTGTGAAGAGAGCCTACCATCCCTAATATGAAGCTCAGAACTACACACTAAAGCAGCCCAGAATCTGAAAGATATAAAAGCTAAAACCTGAGGCATCACTGTGAGGAAGAACATTGGTACTGTGGTAGGGCTTACTCCTATCCCTGCTAAAGGACTTGATGGCAAAACTGCATGTGTTTTGAAATAGTGGGAGCCAGTTATATATTTAGCTAAACAAAGTGTGCTTTTTCATAAGGCATTAGTCCTAATTTTCCTTTAAAAGAAAGAAAGAAACTTGCAGCATTTTAAAAACAACCTGAAAAATGTCAGCAATTTGAAATAGGTTTAATATTGAAGCTAATATTAAATAGCTTTTTTCTTGAAGAAGAAAAAAATACTTTTATGAGCAAATAGAAAAACCTAAAATACTGGTTTTAATTTCATACTGTCTTAACTTTTCAATGGTTCATGTGAAGAGGGTGAACTCTACAAATTATTTGTAACAGTATTGCATTCATTCCCTAAATGGCTTGTTTCTTGGTGATTTTGGTGGAAAAGCTCATTGTTCTTGAGTTTCAATTCGGTGGATTATGGGAAACATTTGGAACTTTTGGAAAAAAGAACTACAGTCAACATTGCTTCCACAAAATGGTGTTTCTTGGGTGTGTTTAATTAGATACCCATGATGCATCTCTAAGTAGATGCATTGTAAGCTCTGAAACAGAAGTTTCAAATATATCTGTACAAAGAGAGTGACTTTCCAGAAAGCCCATGGCAGAGGAGCAGTTCAAGAAACAGTCCAGTGACAGTTGTGCATTACAAGTTTTCGATGTGATTTTTTCATGTTCTCTTGGGACATGAAATCGCTTGGATCTCAGAAGGGATGCCCCCTGTGGGAGTGAATGAATGATGCACAACAGAGTACATGAATGCATGGCCTGCTGTGGGGCCAGAGTAAAAGGGCTTTCATTGAAAGAATTTCCCCTCAAGATGGGTGAAATTTAATCCGTTATGTGGAAGCAGCTGAGCATTGCAAAAGTATGTTTGCCCATTGGAATAGAAATAATTTCAGAGCTTCATCTGCAAGAAACTTCTGTTATTAGGCAGAGACTTAATTGCACTTGGTGATGACAGGTGCTCAGAGATGGGAAAAAGAGATTATTGCAGCACTGGAGGTCTTGCGAATTCTTTTAGCATCAGTCTCTAATCCTGCTATCACTCTGTTTTCCAGTCTTCCTCCAAAGCATTACCCAGCTTTTAAACAGCGCAGTATCCGTAGGGGAAAAAAAAAAAATTCTGAAAGAAAACTCTTCAGATTCGTTGTGCCCTGCACCACTGAGCCCTACATTTCTTCTTCCTAGACCTGCCTGCTGTGCTGTGCAGGAATTTTTTCCATATTATGCAATCAAAGGAGACTATAAAGAAAGAAAGAAAACTTTCTTTTTGATAGACTTTTACAAGTAGGGACATTTTGTGGACTATGGGAAGCTGAGTTGGTTTTGGGCAGCATAATTTGTTAGGTACAGCAGTAATATCTGTCCAATGACTAAATTCTACTCAAGTCTATGATCTCTGCTTATGAGAAATTTTCATGATTAGCATGCTGGATTCTGGATTATCCTGCTTTGGCAGTGGAGGTAATTCCTGGTTTTTTTGAATGAGCTCAACCCACAAAATATATCTTCTGAGAAGCTGAACTTCAGTTTAATCAAGGATCTTAAAATGGCTAGGTAGCATATTCATGAACTGCAAACTGTGATTGTCAACTATGCTAACTTATTTTCATTAGTCTGTACAGCCCCCAAGCATGTAGGCATGTCAGAAAGTTAATTAAACCTCTTTGTGCAGGCAATTGAAAAATGTATGTTAATTTTATCCTAGAGTTAAGTTTATTTAATAAAAAAAATCAAAGTCTTTACATGACTAAAGAAAAAGTGATTTAAACTTTTTTTTTTGTTATATGATGGAAGAAGATAAAGCTAGTGTAAGTTATTTCTGATCTGTGTGCACAAAAGTGCAGAATATGTTTGCAACATTTGTGTAAAGTATCCTATAAATAAGGAGTAAAAGTACAGTTTGTAAGCAGTTTTTATCCTTCCAGAAGATGGAAGTTCATACCAGGAATAGTTTGAGGACAGTGAGGAACAAGAGATAATGTCTTCAAAGCACAGACAAATTTTGGAGGAAAAAGATCTTCAGAAAAGATGCAGCATGAAAAAAACAACATTGTTAACTAAGGAAACTGGAAAAGAAATGAGATAAAAATGTAAAGGTCCTCATGTAATATTCTGACCTAAGAAAAGGGATGCTAAATGTTCTTGATTGATTTTGTTAGATTAATTTTTAATAATTAAAGAGCTGTTAGGGAATGGGCTACTTTTCAGTTTAAGCAGTGGACTAGGACTTGGCAAACCACAAGCCTTGCTCCATTTCTGCCAATAACCTTCTGGGACACTATGGGCAAGTTGCTTCATCTATCCATTTCTTGGTTTCCTGCTCTGTTTCATGGAGCTAAGAATAGAAAAATTTAGGTTGCAAAAGATGAGTGAATCTAACTGTTAACCCAGCACTGCCAAAGCCACCACTAAACCACGTCCTCAAGTGCCACATCTTCGCATCTTTTAAATACCTCCAGGGATGGTGGCTCAAAGTCTTCCCTGGGCACCCTTTTCCAATGCCTGATGGCCCTTTCAGTGGAGAATTTTTTTCCTAATATCCAATATAAATCTCCCATACACATGGGATTCAAGATGCATAGGGATGCAGTGGCTCAAAATGGGCAGAGGTCTGGGTTTCTGGTAAGAGAAGCTTGTTTAAGTGTTTTATTGCATTTCGGGTCTCAGAACTTTCTAGTATTAACACAGGAAAAAGAAGATTTTTTTTGGGAGAAATTGGTTATATGGTGCAACTCTCCTATTTCCCTGTCTTGGTTTCAAAAGACAGGTGTCTGCTAAGGAAGGCAGGAGCGTCCCCTGAAATGGAAAATCTACCTCTCCCTCCAAATTGCTATAAATTTTAAATTAAGGGGCTCTCAGGCAAAAAAATATGGGAGCAGGAATAACAGTTCTTTATTAGGGAAAATAAAAAGATAAAATAAACAATGCAGTAAACCAAAACAACACTGACAGAGTCAGAATATGACCTGATGCCCTGTTGGTCAGGGTGCTGGTAGCAGTCCAATTGGAAATGTGGCTGCAGTCCTCCTGCAGTGTCAGGTGTGGTTCTGTTGGAGCAGGGATCCTGTAGAAAGGGTGCAGTCTTCCTCTGAAGATCCAGTGGAAGAGGCAGCTGTTCCTCTGGGAAATCCAGTGGAGAAGCTGTGCTGGTCCCAGAACCTCACGATTATATCCATGTAGCAATGCTTGGCTCTTCCCTCTGGGCAGAGCATCTCACAATGGGATGCTATAGTTCTTATCAGTCATGCAGTGACATTCAATAACCTGTTATCAGCAGATGTCTCCCCGGTGGGAGGAGTGGTTGTGGAAGAGATAAGGAAGACTGCCCACTTAACAGAAGACAACCTGCCATACAGATGGCAAATGGAATACAATTTGATTGGCAATCCAGGACATTCCCATACCAGGATTTTCTATAAGTCCATATTTAACTCTTCTCTCATCAATGTTTTGTTTGCTTGGTGTTTTTAGCTCACTGAATCCTAGCGATTTCAAGAAAGATTCCTCCATTCTCCACATTACTAAATCTCAAGGAAGATATGGGTCCACACCATCACCTCAGCCAAAACTCCTCTCCCAGCACTCACTACAGAAACAGGGAAACAGTAACACTGACAAAACTCAGGTTGCACAGCTGCCCATGGCCAACGGCGTCGTAGCGCAGGACCAGGCGGAGGAAGAGGAGCGGCGATCGCCGGACCGCAGCTCGGCCGTGCCCACCCCGGTCCCGGATGATGCCATGGACAGCAGCTTGACAAACGGGGAAGGAGAAAGCACTCACAGAGAGTCCTTGCAAAGTGTGGCTGCCTGTGAGGAGCAGATGCTCAACAGCTGCCACAGGACTCCGAGCAGTGACACGCTGCTCCTACCCGAAAATGAAACTCTAGGAATTGATACTGATGTCAAGGAAGAACCAGCTGAGGAAAGCAGTAAACAAGATCAACCTGTGGAAATAAAGGTAAAGAGATGGTTTAATTCCTGATATATCACTATTTTTTGTATTGTCTCTAGGTTGTTATTTACAAAAATAGGCTTCCAGGAGCAGGTCAGAAATTGAAAATATTTCAGTTATTTTCCTTCTGAAAAAAGACTAGAAAAAAGTCTTGCTTGCCTTTCCTCACACTCTCCCCTCCTTTGCTCTTCTCATCCCCTTGGCTCTTTCCCCATTAGCTGAGGTTTAAAAAAAAAGTGAAACTCAAATATGTGTGCCTGTTTAGCACCATGCTTCAGCTGTGCTAGCCTAAAAGGGACACATGTTAGCGATGTATATGAAATAAAATGCCATGTGCAGTAAACTGTAATGACAGAGCTTCAGGCAGAAGAGTTGTGTGAATCCCTAACTTGGATGTAGTTGTCAAGTCAAAGCTGGAAAGACAGTGGCAGTCTGCTAGCGATCAGATAGATGCAATATTCAGGGTATACTAAATACATTACTTTTTAGCAAGCAGAACTTATATAATGATGAATTTGAGCTCCCTTGTGAGGAAGATTTTAAATGCTTAAGCAAAGTAAGTGGGTGGAAGGAAATCTGTCTTGGGAAATTAATTGCTGGAAAATTGTTCATAGTTTTCATAGTTAGTTGTGAAAGTTTACTTGTGAGTTCACCTCCTTGAGCCAAAGCAGCAAATGTGATTAACAGTTCTGGTCCAGCCATCCCCTGTTTGGTATGAGGAGCTTGCCCAGTCTTCCTCTTCACCACAGAGCCAATGCAGGAAAAGCTCCTCACTGCTGCTCAGGTGTGCACCTGCAGCAGTTCACTGCAGCCCTTGAGTTTGGTTAGCTGGGGGTCACAGACATACATGCCTGGAGGTAAATTCTGTGAGTGGGAAAGGTGGATGAAATATCCTGAGTAATGATAAGGAAGTGATGGTTTGTGTGGTTTTCTGATTTTTTTTTTAGGGGTTGTTATTTTTTCCATAATATTTTTTCCAGTAATTAACGAATGTTATGATCACCACCTGAGCATAAGCCTGGGTACAGTCCAAGGCACTTTTGGCTGTCACAATATTTCTGTCTCCTGTTGGGTAATGCCTGTTTCCCCTCTCTGTGCCTATAAAGTGCTGAATTCTCAGTGGGCAACGATGTTAAGCTTGAACCCAAGTCACGCAGTAAGGTGCTGGGAGCATTTTCAAGAAAAAAGCTGAAAAGCGAAGCAGTTCTGTTTTAAAGTTCAGGAAGGAACTGGGCAAATGCTAATGGCAGCAATCTCATTAAAATCTGTCTTTGAGCTGCACATGTGATCTGTCTTATATTGACACTGAGTCAGCTTGTGAGGTGTAATGTGACTGTAACTAGATGTATATTGCTCACTGGTGCTTGAAGGGTACAAAACCAAGACATAGCCATGCAGGATGACTTTTAAGGTTGCACTGGTGCAGAACTGATTCTGTAAAACTGAGCTGGGTCACAGCAATCCTTCCTGAGATACCTTGTGCAACAAGGACTTCCCCTTTAGTCTGGTGGGGTTAAGAAGTTTGTGTGCCACCCTTTACAGAATCTAAGACTGATTTAGTTTGGATTAATGCAACCTGGAGATGGCAATCAGCCCTCTGGTGGTCTAAATAGCTGCTGCCATGCTGTCTGGATTAGGAGAAGGAGGATGAGCAACAGGAGAGTTCTGGTAGTGCTTTAAGCTGTTTCTGTGCTCAAGCACATGCTGGTAAGAAGTAAGACATTAGCATTAGACAATCTGTGATTTTGCTAAATGCCCACTTAGTCATTAAAGAATATTAAAACTGGGATGCAGTCCAGTTGAAGTTGCTCCGCACAGGATAACAGCACTCTCCCGCCCTTTTGATTAAAAATATAAGTACAATTGAATAAAAGCAAAAGGAGCAGATGCATGTGAGTCATAGTCAAACTTTTTGAGTCTCATATATGTATTTTGATGCAGATGCAAAGTATCTTGTCTCTTTCATGTCATGTTTCTTAGTTCAGAAAAGAGCAGAAAGTGGTGCTCTCTCTCTTTGTGAATGTGTACATGTGCAGTAGAAGTAATCCTAAATCCACAGCTGGAAAGGGTGAATTAAATGGGCGACTGGTGCAAAACCAGTGCAGAAATTAATTTTTGGACTTGGAAAAGGAGGCTTGTTTTGCAATAGTTTTGCTCTTACAATTATTCCCCTCCCTCTCCCCCCAGTCACTATAGATCTGACTAAAGACAGATTATTGCAGCTTCTGCAAAAAGTTGAGCAAAACTTATTAAATTTGGCAGTGATCTGAAACAATTTCCCCAAACAACCAGAGTAGAGTATCCTTTATTTCTCTTATTTTCTGAATTGGTTTGAAGGTAATGAAACATAATTATAGCAAGCAAAAAGACAATTAAAAGTTAAAAGTTTCCTGCCTTACAGCAGAAACACCTCCTGTCATAAAAATTGGTTTGTCTGAACTGCAGAGGCTGAATAGTACAAGAACATCTCAATCAATTGACTTCCTGAATAACATCTTGTGGGGAATCTGCTGCTACAGCTAACTGAAGACAAGAGGACAAATGTGTCAGTGTTTGCTGTGAGACTGGTAGGAAATAGGGATGTAGACTGCCTGCATGCCACTGATGGGGAAGAATCCACTGAACATCTTTTAATAAAGTCCTTATATGATGTCTTCTTTTAATGATAGCGCTGGGGGCTCTTATGCTTCAGATGCAAAAACCTGGTGTAGATACTGGATTTCTAAATGTAGGGTGATGTTTCAGTTTAACCAGGGTAAAATTTTTGGTTTTGCAAAGTTAATTTTCTGCCAAGAAATGTTTTACTGTTGAAAGACTTGAGAGGTTCTTGCAGCTTCTTGATTCTACAGTTTTTGGTCTTTAGGAATAGTACAGGCAACAAAGCTGTGTATTTTCAGCAACCAATATAAATGTATAAATCTTCTTGTGAACAGTCACTACTTTAGGGATACCAGAATCTTCCCACTTCTTGGTTGCTGTGCAAGAAACAAGCACAGTGTAATTTAAATTTTATTTGTTCATACTTTACTACTCTCACCCTGTGTTGTTTAATATACTCCTTAAAAGCCCTTGGGGCAAGGACTATGCCTGAGTAAGAGTGAATCATATACATCACTGTCATGTTGGCAGGTACAGTTTTCTTGACAGGAGATGGCTCCTCTTTGGTTTGGATAACAAGAAAGTTCATAGTTTCACTAGCATTTTTCACACCTCTTCTTAATTTCAGAGTTCAAAATGACTTATTTTAATTTCTTAAGCGTGCATAGTAATATAATTATTCTAAGGATGAGCAGCTTTGTACTAAAGAACTAGATCCAACTGACAAATTTACTGTAAGCATTGGAATAGAGATTCAGGTTTACAGTCCCTGCTGATGCAACTCTTGGTCTCTCACACTGCTGATATTTTGGTCCACAGATGAAATAATGTACCTGTGTAATGTAAATGTTTTCTATATAGCACACTAGCCATTTCTGTTTGGTTTTATATGTTGAGTTGCCACGTGTTATGGATTGTCATAGAAGTTTAAAATGTTCCTTGAAATAATTGTTCCCTGAAATTCCCCTCAACAACAGCCCTGCTTCCCCACTGAGGACGTGCTGAAAGAAAAGCAGTAGTAGAGTTTTCTGGTTTTTTGTGCTGATCTGACCTTGTAGGTGGGTGTTCTTTTGCTGGAATAGGAACACGCTGCAGTGATTAAGATATAACTCGTGCGTGATGTGCATTTTCCCCCCACACAAAAGATCCCTCTGTCAGGTCGTGCAATTGATGTAGACAGGAGGTGCAGGTTCAAGAATTAAGATGATGTCTAAGGTTGATACTGAGAGGTTTGGAAATCTCGGCTCAGCTAATTTTATGTGATTTTTTTGCATTTGTTATGCATAATTTTGCCTCTCTTAATTAGTTCAAGTAATCTTCTAAAAACTGTGGATTGCTTCTGTAGCATTGCTTCAGGGAGAAAGTGGGGTTCTGGGGTGAGAAAAACATAAAATTACTAAGGAACCAGTAACCTCCATGGTTTTGTGCCTCAAGTCCACATGTGAGATTTTTGTAAATGGTTGCACTAAGCAGCAAGCTGTAGCTGTAATAACTAATCCTCCAGCTCCCTGCAATGTCTCTTGACAGCACTTAAAACACTGTTCTGCAGGTTACTGTGGTTGCTATGCTGATTTAAACAGATTTAATGAACAGCTTTGAAGTCACTATTGAAAGCCTGTTTTTAGGGAGGAGGTTTGCCATGTAGCAGTGCAACTGTGAACACTGCAGATTAGAACTGAAATACATTGAAATTTGGAATACTTATTGAATACAAAATGGGGGGAAAATGCACTGAACTGCTTTAAATATAATACTGTACTTTAATATTCAGTATTCTTCAAAGAATTTTTGTAAAGGTACTTGCAAATGTTTTTCATAGTCTCGTGGGAAGCAGTGTGCAGCTTGAAATCAGAAACCACTCTCTCAAGCTCTCCTCTTTATTTTTTTTTTAATGAAGAATTTTTATGGTTTGTCTAGCAATTACCAGTTTCCCATAAGCACTGTGATAATACTGCCATTTATTTCAGGAAAATTCTGATGTTGTTAGATGAGAACAGACTATCACTAGATCTGGAGAAAGAATCTTGTAATGGAAGTGTCAGTTTGTTGAGCCTGACACTTGTAAGCCTGAGGCATTTCCCTAATGTTTTGACATTATAGAAGGCTGTCCTTTCATTGTTTGTTTTGGAGCAATTTTGCCCAGCAACTTACAATTACATATTCTAACGTATTTAGTTTAATATTGAAAATTGAGTGAATGTTTTAAGTTTCTGTTCAGCAGAAGAATCAGAAATATATTTTGCAGAAGAAAAGATTTTAAAATGAAAATTTCCCTTAAAATGTAAAAATTGCTTCCATAAAGCCTTAATGAAGGAGTTCTCTAATGGCAGTCAACAATTATTCAGCAATGAATGTACTGGTGAACATAAAACATTTTGTACCACATTTTTCAATAATTTTGCATGCAAAGAACACGCAGTTCAAATAACTTCTGAAATGGGGTGGGGGTGAACACTGAGTGCTCCCATCTGTTCCCTCTTACTCTGTAAATCAGTTCCTCCAGCTCTGAAAGGTCAGTGGTACTCAATTACCAGGATGTGAGCTGATCTGTTGAGTAGGGAGTCGGTGCTTTGGCAAAGATCCCTGTACAAACTGGAAAATGCTAAATCTTTTAGGCTTTGAATTTTGCTTCACAGTTTGACTGATTTTTAACGTTCTCTGGCTTTTGTATGTGTTGATTAAACTGCGGGAAATCATGTATTTTTTGAAGTTGGTGTTTATTACTAAATGTTAAACTTGTATTTCAGTTTTTGGACTATAAGGTAGTCATAAGTATTTTCAAATTTTTTTTATTGTTATTAAATTATGTTTTCTTCAGTGTCCTAAGAGTTGCTCTTCTTTTCCTCCAGGAGACTGATGAGCAGAAACGTCACAAAATTGCCAATGAACTTCTGCAAACAGAAAAGGCCTACGTTAGCCGACTTGACCTCCTAGATGGGGTACATTTTTCTTGAATTTGCTTTTATTGTGTTGCCTTGAATTCACTCAAATGGCTATGTATAAGTGTGGGTATAAATTACATGAGATGTGGCATGTTTTTCACAATTTACTGATTTTCCAATCAGTCATTTTCTGTTGCCTCATGGTTTTGCCTTTGCTTCTATTTTAAGAGTGCTATATTTTTAATAAGTATTCAAATTTTGTGGCTATTAATGCAATATGTTCTGTGTGTGGAGATGTCACTATAAGCAATCATGCTGGTAGACAACAAGGAGGATGGATAACAGTGTTTTGGCTTCCAATGAACTGGAGTGAATGTTGCAATCACCCACTTGTTAGAAAATTACTAAATCCTTCTAATTTGAACCACCCAATCAGAATTTTTCTTTAGTCCCAAAGAACCTAGAAATTGCCCATTCCAAAAAGAATATCCTCTACTTTCCCATTGTATTTTTTGAAACAGAAATTACTGCTCCTGCAAGGAAAGGGTTGGACTCTCATGCTTTGTACAATTGATGTTTCTTCAATGTAAAAGTGTGTACTTGAGAGTTTTCCTTCCTAAGTCTTGTTTACTTCCCACGTAACACATATACACTTTACTTGGATGCCTCTAGCTTTGCATTGCCTTACCACAGGATACTTTTCTCAGACTCTACAGTTTAAATTTCTCAGGTCCACTGCAGAAGTTTTGTACAAAGAGTTGATGAAAAGCAAAAATCTCAACTGATTGTTCAGGCTACTTGGGGATCTAAGTAATTGTCCTCATGAAAGTGAATTTACGCAGCAGACCCACATGGTGATGGATGTATGGTAACTTTTAAAAGCCAAAATATTGCAGGAAAAGAAAAGTGATTTAGAGAAGTTTAAAAATAAAAAAAGATGTTTATGTCCTTCATAGATTTTTCTGATGGGTAATGTACAATTATTTTCCTTGATGGCTTTATAAGTGCATTACTGCTATGTCTGTTTTCCAAGTATTAACTGGAGAGAATTCTGAAAAATGAGTTTCAAACACAGCTGCTCAACTGCTGCTAATGAGAGGAAAGCAGAAGACTAGGAAGGGACTGTTATATTTCTGAACTTGGTTAAAAAGTTGTGTAATCTTTATGGTATTCATAAGTAAGTAACTGTTCTGTTGGCAATGCAGCAAACGGGGCATGTTTTAGAGTGTATGTGGCGGTACATGGCATTTTTCCTTTTAAGACACTCCAGCTGTCTCAGTTGGGGTGATCAAAGTTCCTGTCTTCAGACTCTTTTCTTCTTTTGCAAGTCCTTACCCAGACTTTTGAAGCCTTTTCTAGGGATGTACAATTTGTTCAAGCATGGGAGAGGGTGGCAGAGGGACAATAGCTCCCCGAAAGTTCAGGGTTTTTTGTGATGTGCCTATTAACAGATGCACATTTTGTAGCTGCATCTGGTCAGGTTGAGCCCACTGAAGGAGAAAGAATACATTTATTTTTAAAAGAGACTATAGTCCACTCAGAACTGGGTCCCTTCTGTACTTTAAATGATACGTGGGGACCACTCATAATCTGCCAACTACTTTGATTTCAAAAGGATAAGGGGATACAGCACTCAAGGAAAGTGATGGGGCTGATGGTGATCAGACATCATGCTAATTGCAAAGAGCAGAAGAGTGGAAAATACTGCTGGAAGACTGGGAAAGCTGAGATGATCTAGCTGTTAAAACAGACAGGATGTCTGGAGCAATCCCAAATGGCACTGCTTCAGCTTGGCTCTCCTTGTGTCAACCCTGCCTGCGGTCTCTCTTGGCTTACAAGAACAAAAGTGGGGTGTTAGGGGAGGAGAAGTTTTTCACTTCCAGTGAGGGAAAGGCAATGAATGAATTCATCACTACCCATCTATATTATTTAAATATTAATCTTGCCTCAGCTGGAGCAGGAAGGGTGGATTGGTGGTCTTCCATTGGTTAAAAATAATAGGCTGATAGGTTTGTGGCTCTTTTTCTGTATTGCAGGTATTCTACTCCAGACTCCTTGAGGAAGCCAATAGAGGTTCATTCCCAACTGAAGTGATTAATAAAATATTTTCTAACATTTCATCAATAAATGCCTTCCACAGTAAATTCTTACTTCCAGAACTTGAAAAAAGAATGCAAGAATGGTAAGAGGGAATTCGCTGGTTAATACACTTCTAAAACTGTGTCTGTAGAAACCCTCTTGCAGGGTTGAGGTAGGGAAAATATCTTCAAATTAAGCTGTCCAGGCCCTGGAACCACTGTGAGTAAGACAACATCTGCTCTTCCACTCTTCCTCAGGATCTGACTCAGTAGAGGACTTGCATCATTTGCTCAAAATAAAGGACATGGATCATGAGTAATCTCAGTGGCTTCAGTGAGATTACTCATGATCTTGCTAAATTAGGGGTTCAGACTCAAATTATGTGCTACCTGGTGAATTTATTGTACAGAGTACAAAGTTGAGGTAAATAGCACATATTGTGGTTTATGATAATGCTGAAGTACAGTAATCTCTGTTGTTATTGCCTTTTGTAAAAAGGTGGAACAGAATCTTCTTCTATGTTTTAGTTTTCTGTTTGAAATTAAAATCCATGCCAGATATATTTCAGGGCCATTTCCCCCTCAGCTTTTCTTGACCTCTATTTGGAGCCAGCAAGGATAGAACAGGTGTAAATATACTGTGTAATAGTCATGTACAGATGTAGTATCTTTATCCTGCCTTGTTGTGTGTGTGTGTGATTCTGGATATAATAAAACATAGCCATACATTTTTGGTCTCTTCTATGTAATTGAAAAAACTGGTCTCAAACCATTGCTGCTTCCCTATCTTCTTTGGGAAAAAGAATTACCTCATTTAAAAAGAAATTGTAAATACAGTTTCATCCAGTCATTTCACCTCAGCACTTGTTTGGCTCCTATATTCTATGTTATCTAGAATTTGTTATGAGGAATTCAAGTGTTTGTCCATACATGATTTCCGGCTACACTATTGTATAGCTCTGTTATTGTCAAAAAACACCCCAAAAATGAGGGGGGAAAAAGCTTTTTTGTGATATATATGAAAATCTTAGACCATACAGTGGTGCTTTAGACAGCAGCTGTACATCTTCTGACTCTGTAAGATGATTCCCCTTTAAATGATGATTCCTTAAAATAGAATACTTGACACATGGTACCTTTGTGTAGTCTGTAATGCAAGGAAGTAATAAAATGTCAGCATTGTGAAATATAAGAAGTTCCCTGCAGAATGATTTGAATAAGTAAAAACTACCAATTTCTTTTAACAGAAGTTGAAAAAATCTGATAGGAAATACGAATGCCTGGAATACACTAGAGTGCATGTTCATGAGAAGTGGAGTTGAGATGTTTAAAAAACAGCTCACACCACATTATGTTAGTGCTGTGTAATTTGAAATGAGATTCCCAATGTAATCTTAAAATTCTGCTCTAGACACTTCATGGAGCACAAAATGTAGGTTGCCTCACTTTACATATCGGCAAAAGGCTAAACCGCTCACTAGGATTGTGTGTATAATTATATAGCTTCAAAGGTTGAAAAGTGCTTTTGCAGATAAGCTTTGACTCTTGGTGCAGAGGTAATAAATTGCATCACAAGGATATTATCTTTTCCAAATTGTGTGAGAACAACCTTTGTGCTGCACCTGAGACAGCCTGTTTAAATGTCCTTGAAACACTGTGCTTTTGGGAGGAGTTAGAAAAAAGGGTGCAGTTGAAGACAGCTTTTTTTGATCATTGCTGAAAGTAAAATCTGGGGTAATTTTCTCTCCCCATCACTGGTCTCTGAAATTTTCTGGCATAATAGCTTCTGCCAGATACAGTCTTCTCAGAAGTTCCTCTCATTAGACACAAGAAATTAAGTATGTTCTATGGGTAGCTTTATGTGCTTCTATTACTCTTTATCCTCCAGCAAAAAAGCTGGATAAAAATTTCTGACCTTTCCTTGAGTTGTGGTTTAAATTAAAAACTAAGAGTAAAAATATTTAATTTTGTAACTGGGAAAGCAGATCAAAAGCAAATTCTTTTTTGGAAGAAAAGGCAGTGTGAATCTAAACTTACCAAGTGAAAGTGAAATTGTCTAGTAGCTGCATTTTGAATGAGTTGAGCAACAGCTGGAGCTGAATATCTCTTACAACATACGGCTTGAAAACACCAGAACCAGCATTGTTGCAATATATTTCTCATGAAAAGTGTGTAACAGAGCAGAACAGTGATCCCACGCCACAGAATCATCAAATGGTTTGGCTTGGAACAGAACTTAAAGATCATCTAATTCCAACTCCCCTTCCGTCGGCAGGGATACCTTTCACTAGACTATCAAACAAAATAATTAGATACAAAACCCTGAGTGTTCTGGACCCAAGGATGACTAGTAGCAGATACTTGGGAATAACATAAGAACCCTGCAAGACTTCAGAGACCAACTTCCCACCCTGTCTTGTCCCCTCATTGCCAGCCCCAGCAGCAGCCCAGTCCTCTGCCAGGTGTTACACAGGAACTCTCTGCCCTGCAGAGGCAGCTGGAGCTGGACCAGTTTTTGACAATGCTGCAGTATTCACTGTTCAAGTATAACTTTTCTGTTCTGCACAGCTTTTCTCTCAGAGAAGTGATGCATTGGAGTGGGCTGTAGACCACTATGAGAACATTGATTTCAGACTTTTAGAAATCCATACTGAGATACTGAGTTTCTGAGTCTGTTCCTGAAAATGAGACATCAAATGTGATTCCTGTTGTAGTTCTCGGAGGTGCCTGTGTGCTGCTCCACATTTTTTGTGTGCAGCTGGGACTGCAGCTTCTCTCAGCCTCTCCATCTGCTACTTTACTATTCTGTTTTATCTGAAGATGCCATCAGGAGTTGGGAAAAATGTGGAAAAGTTCTCACAAAAGATTGGAATCCAAGGGATTATCTTTCCTTCATATGTTTCCTTAGATAATTAGTAATTAAAACCAAAATGTTAATACATATGTTTATACAAGGCACAGAGTGGAAGCTGTACAGAATGGGTTTAGCCCTCAAACCAAACCACAGGTTAGATGTTTTAAGGATTAACTTATGGTCAAAAGAAGATAATGTAATTTTAAGGAAGTGCAGATAAAATAAATTAGGCCATGTTTTGTAAATAAAATCTTTCATGTCTTCAATTTCTAGCTTTACTTTTTTAGTCCTCTATGTGACCTGTGGTGCTTATACATCGCCAGAAGGGGATACAAACACCCTTTCCATGTGAATTCAGATTTAACACTTATGGTGGAACTCTATATGAGGCGATCTCAAACAGAAGGATTCTCTGTTAAACACTTGAAACCTTTTATAACCTTGCGTGACTTTTTTTCTTCCCATTTTGCTCTGAGATTCCAATCTCTTACTTTGCAGGACTACCACCCCTAGGATTGGAGATATTCTGCAGAAGTTGGCTCCTTTCCTCAAGATGTACGGCGAGTACGTGAAGAATTTCGACAATGCAATGGAACTGGTGAAAACGTGGACTGAGCGGTCACCTCAGTTCAAATTCATTATTCAAGACATTCAGGTAATGGGGAGAATAATGTAGATCCTCAAATAATATATAACACATAGGTTTGTGGATGAAAAAAGGATTAAAGAGGAAGTTAAATACCAAATCCCATAGAATTAAGGTAGTTGTTTTATCCACTTCACACTGCATTTTTCCCTACTCCTTCCTGCATATGTGCACAACCCACCCACAAAAATCCAGATTTTTCTCCTGCAAAATAGAAGAGCAAATTGTAAAGGCTGAAACATCTGAAGATTATAAAAATAGTGCATCTTGTTGTAAATACCATTTTAGGATAAAGTGAAAAGGCAGTGCAACCCTAGATCCCTGTGCTGCATCCAGTAATATTGTGTTTTCTCACAGTAATGCTGAGCACAGGCAGCTGAAGAGCCCAGGGATGCCAGTCTTTGCCAAAGGCTCGTTTCACACCCTCTGGTGCTCCGTGGGGGTGTCTCTGGGAATTGGCAGGTGTGTGTCCTGCTGCAGTCTGAGCACTTAGAAATAGAATGGAATATTTCTACTTAAATTTTACTGCTCTGTGGGGTCTTTTGGTTGTAAGCCAGGGAAGAAAACAATGTAGATTTTAATGTAATTTTGGTTTTTATAATCTAATTGCATCTAAGATCATGGAAATGAATATACATCTAAAGGTATGAGGGAAGGACACTGCTGAGGCAGTTGACATTGTAAATAAAACGAAAAGAAAGCATTCCCTCCTTAGATGGGTAAAATATACCTTTGTAGCCCGGTAAAATGATTGTTTATATATGTGGACATGAGCTGTTCCTATTACTTTAGAAGTATTTCTCTTGTGTGTTATTACAAACCTATTTTGAAATACACTGGAGTGTAAAAGATTTTTTTGGTAAGACTGTCAAATACTTAGAATGTTTTTACAGTTATTTTTTGTGAAGATTTTCTGATCATCTGATTTGGTAAAATAGTTCTGTGTTCTTTCAGAAGATCTATCATGCATGTCTCAAAACACATTGTTTATGTTTCATCAACCATAGCTTTTATTTTATGGTATTGTAATGACATTTCTGCCTGCTTCATTGAAATATGTTTACAATTTTTTAGAAGGAAAAAGTGTGTGGAAATTTGACATTGCAACATCACATGCTAGAACCAGTCCAACGCATTCCACGCTACGAGATGCTTCTAAAGGACTACCTAAGGAAATTGCCTCAGGATTCCCTAGACTGGAAAGATGCTGAAAGTAAATATCTTCAGGCCATTAAAGGAGCTATAATAAGATATTAGTAAGAGGATACTGTAAATTAAAGATATTTTCAGGAAAGATCAAGTGAAGAATTACCCATGAAAAGAATGATAGAATTTCTTCAGTGGAATCATAGCATTCCTTGAAAAAAGTCTGTTTGAATTGAAGTTAATTTTAAAGCCATAAAGCCTTTAGTATTCTCCTGGAGCTCAGAAGTTTTCCTTTGGTTTTGGAATAGCGCACAGGTTTTGATTTGTTTGCTTTACAGATGATCAGGGCTTGTGGTGGCTTTTTAATTTATTTTTGTTGGTATTTTGGTTTGCTTTATGCACATTTGGAATGTTTGACTGCTATTTGTAAAAAAGTGAAGTTAGGCTCACTGTATTTTTAAGTTTCTGCAGGGAAAAAGCACAGTCCACTTTTAAATTTCTTCCTCTCTGTATTTACACAAGAACAGTTCAAGGTATTTGCGTGGAGTGTTCAAAATCACTTGCCAGATAATTCTTTTAACTATTTAATTTTTAGTACCATTACAGTGAACACTTGTAAGATGAGCTGCTTCAACTGAAAAAATATAGTTTGACTTTCTGAACTACTTTGAGAAAAGGAGGGAGAGAACCATGACTGTTCTTGTCACAGAAAAATGTGATTCTGAGTACTGAAGTGCTACAGTAAACTGCAATAATTCTCTTCTTCTTTCCATATAATTGTTTCTATTTGGTACCTGACTTTTTTATGCCGTCCACTTCACCTTGTATTCTTTTTATTGCTAACTGAAGAAATCTATTGTACTTTGAAATTTACATAAAAACAACAAATATTTTTATAGAATTACCACTGTGCCCCCCCCCCCCATGTAGTACATGAATAAAAGTACAGCTTTTTGGTTTTACTTATTTTCGTTTTCTTCTGTCTAGAGTCCCTGGAAATTATATCCACTGCAGCAAGTCACTCAAACAGTGCAATAAGAAAGATGGTAAATGATCCTTGTTTTCCTGATCACTTTTCAATATAATTGCAAATCTTCCCTAAAATGTCAAGAATTGGTTACTTGGGTCAAAATGATTGTTCCTACTTAATGTATTTATATAGCTCCTAGAAATGATAGACAAAATCTGTCATTGCAGCAAATTCTCTCAAGTGGGAAATGGGACATACTTAGTTCTTCTCCTGGCTCAAATCACTGATACTGCACTGAACTCTTAACCAGGTTTCATCTGTTTCTTTGAGTGCAGGACAATGTTTGTAAAGAGCAGATACTGTTTCTCTGCCTGATTGGGCTGGGATGATAGGATCTTAATTGAAATGTGAGATGTTTTAGGCAGGAAATAATGCAGACTGTATAAACAACTGCATTTTAAAAATTACCAAGGATATAATATTTCTAAAAGTACTTCTAGCTTTATCAACTAAATTAATCAGTCAGACCACTCATGTTTGGTATAAATATGTTTTCCAAAGCTTAACAGTCTCCAGATTTATGCCAGCTCCCATCATTTAATTTAAACTGCATCAAGATCTGTGTTTTCAATTACTAAGTTTTATAACTGTATTTTCACCATAAAGGAGAATCTAAAGAAATTGTTGGAGATCTACGAGATGCTGGGAGAAGAGGAAGACATCGTGAACCCTTCAAATGAGCTGATCAAAGAAGGACAGATCCTTAAACTGGCTGCTCGCAACACGTCTGCCCAAGAGCGCTACCTTTTCCTGGTGAGTATGGTGCTGCTGCTGCGGGGAACTTGGAAATCCTCATTAAACTGAAATGTAAAAGCTTAGGATCTTTGCCCTGATGGATTGTGTGTTGAGGTCCCAGTAAGTAAGTCTCATGGCTCTGTGGGAGGTTTTCATCGTGGCAGGTCATCCTTTCAGCTGGAATTTGAAAAGTACAGCCATGGTCCTTTGCAACTCCCTTGGAAGAGGTTTGGTGGAGTTTGTTGCTTCCCATGCATTGAAAATTGCTGGTATATTTTTGCTCAGGGATCTGTGGCATGGCCCCTCTTCTGGTTAATAAAGGGTAGTGACAGGATGTTGAGGCACAGCTCCTCCTTACCTGTGCTTCAAACAAAAGGAGAAATTATAGAATAGAAAGACTTCAGCTGGGGCCAGAGAGCTGACTTAAATGATGTTCCCTTCATATGAGAGGTGACAAGCTCAAATGTGCTGTGTCTGATACAGACTAGGCAATAGTCTAGTCAGGATTTCTATGAAATAGGATTCAACTGAAGTGAGTTTTTCTTTTTAATAATTAATTTTGAGAAAAATGAGAGGGGAAAAAAGTGAGAAAATTAAACACTTTATATCTGATTTAATAACTGTGCTTCTAGGCTGCGGCTTTAGACATTTAAACGTTATTTAAAGTTCTACTTTAATAACGGAATATATCTTTGTCCTGTTCATGTACCATTTTTCCCCCTGTGATATGGAAGGTTTCAAGGAATAAAAATTTTAAGGAATGTTATTTTGTCTTGGAGAAAAGACAAAAAAATGTCTTCAAATAGCATTAGTTCCAACTTGTACAAAACAAAATTATTTTGGTACAGGATAAATATAAATTTATACACTGAAGTGAAAAGTCCTTATTCTACAGTTTACAGTAGGTTTTGCAGAATTGGGGCATAAGAACAGATTTGGTAGAAAAGCTTTACATTGGCATAGATTATGTGGTCTGAGTATAGTTTGATAATAAATACTATGAAGACTGCTGCATATACAGAACAATTATTCTTACATTGACTGAAGCTGTCCTAGAATCCTATTCCTAAAGAAATGAGAAAGAGAAGTTGTCTTGCATTAGGGCTTTGGTCTTCCCATGTGTCAGCTGATCAGGAAAGAACCTGCTTTCTCACCCACCAAGTCTAGCTTTGTGATATTCTCCAGGTCTCAGTGGACAAACTATGGTTTTATCTGTGTTTTTCTTAGTGCAAAACCACATGTTTATTTTTTCCCCCAGTTTAACAATATGTTGCTCTACTGCGTCCCCAAATTCAGCCTGGTAGGATCCAAGTTCTCGGTTCGAACCAGAGTTGGCATAGATGGCATGAAGATTATAGAAACCCATAATGAGGAATATCCACACACTTTCCAAGTGTCTGGAAAAGAGAGGACACTGGAGTTGCAGGCCAGGTAAGCAGTCTTTTTAGCCAGTTCCTTGAGATCAAATATATACACACAGAAGAGTGGATTAACAGATTTGAAGAACGAGGCAGCGGATTTCATTTTAATGCTGGTGTTTTGAAAATAGCCTAGGCTGCCAAAAAATCATGAATTCTAAGTCCAAGAATCTCTCTGAGCAGAAGATGCATCTACGATGTATAACACATTGGCTAACCGTGCAGAAATGCCCAAGACAGCTGTGAATGGGCTGGCTGGGAATTTGAGAGCAGTGCCGAGGCAGCCTGTCTGACCAAAGTGTTTTAGGACACTGGGTGTGTCAGTCACTGGTGCCTCTGGGATCTGAGCTGCCTTGGTACCAACGAGTCTGTTCACCTCAGGGCAGGTCCAGCAAACAAAGCTCTCCCTCCCACAGGGTTTACCTCCACAGAACAGAGTTTTCTGCAGCAGTAGTTGAGCATCTGCTTTCCTCTGTTCCTCAGGCCCATTTCCCATCTACTTGTTTTCTTCCAATCCTGAGTATCACCCTCCCTCTGCAAGGCAAGCTCTCCTCCTGGTTCTTGGGTCCTTTTCCTCCAGGTGCACTCTTCTGACTGGCACTTTTTCTGCTTTCCAATTTATTAGTCCTTGTATCCTCCTTTTGCTGAGTTACCTTCCCCTCACCTTTTTGCATTGACTAGGCTAAATTGCCCCTGTCTAGACTCAAATAAAGTGAGATGCTCCTTCTCTCCTTTTGGGCCTGCCTAAAAATCCTATTCTTACGATTAGGATCAGGGTTTCTTAACAGTCGGGGTTTCATTGCAGAGAGGCAAGGATTAAATAGGCAGGAGAGTGTCCATGGTGGGTATAGTTCTGTGTTGGCACCATGTATTTGGGGACAAGCCATAGCTGGCTAGCCAGTGAACTTGCAAGCTACTTTCCTTTATGGAAAACCTGTAATATTTAATGAGAGTTACAGCAGAGAACATGCAAAGATAATGGCATATAGGTATTTACCTAAACTTCAATTCAATTTCAAATTAAATATATACTTTGAAAAATGACACAAAACCCCCTTTCCACTAAGATCTGCAAGATTTTTGGGACAGGTTTTTGGCTATCAGTCATATCTGCTGTAAATTACTGTGTGATATCTTGCTAAATATTTTGTAAATTGTTATGCCATACACCTATTTCAATGGTGAAAGGTGGCATCTTGTTATACCATTTCTGAAGCATGTTTTAATTTGAAGAAAATTGATACAGCAAAGTAAGTTTATTTTCTTAGCTTTCCTACATTACCTGTAGGAGAAAGTTTATTTTAGGTGAGGGAAGCACAGATTTTTATCTTTTGCTTTGTGATCATTGTTAGAATACATTAAGTCTGTACAAAACTGTGAAGGAGTAAGTGCCACGAAGCTCTTATTCAATTATATTAGAAAAATCTAATACATTTATCAACGTATGAGTAGTATATGTACCCTATGCCTTAATGTCCTTAATTCATGAGCTTGTATTAACACTGTAATAATTTTTAATTTACTCTTGGCATATTCTGTAGTAGGAGAATTATAATTATTTTTCAAACTGTTATTGGAGTATATTTTCAATTACTGTTTTTAAACAGCTGGTAGATTATTTCTTTGGAATGCTGCTGGTCAGGTACTATGCTTAATAGCTCAGCTTTTTGTTTTTACTGTAAGCAGGAAGAATGATTTTGGCTGCTTGGACAGGTTTCTTCTTCCTCATGTGCAGATGGTAGGTGGGAAGGGCAAACAGTAGTTTAGGATTCTGCCAGCTTAAAAGTTCTGCTAATACTGCAAAACAACAGGTGGGGAGCTGTTTTAATTGAGATGTTGTAAAGGTTCTCTTTTGCATCCTTCAGAGCAATCCATAGAAACATTAATTTTTGTATGATTGGTATCACATGGTACAGCAGGGTTTTTTCCCCAACACATTATCCAAGGAGGAGGCAACTATTGGAGAGCCAGATACACTGTAGTGTTAGTTCTCATGTTTTTAACTTTTGTCTTCTGGTTTGGCTTGTTTGGGGTTCTTTTGTTTGTTTTGGGGTTTTTTTTGTTTGTTTGTTTTTTAAGTTGGACAGTTAACAATTAGTATTGTTTAAATTCTTGAGAATTACTGAAGAGTTACTTGGCTTTTGCAAGAAGTTGTTGATAGTGGGATAATGTTTCTTAAACTAGTCTCAAACTAATGTGTCAAATATTTCTTTTAGTTCTGAACAGGATAAAGAAGAATGGATAAAGGTAAATTAATCTACATTCTTTATTTTCTAAACGTTTTGTCACTGAAGCAATCAGAAAAGTAATACTCATGTTTTCTGTCTCTACCTTCTCTCTGCTGATCAATAACTGGTCAGAATGCAGAGCCTGTTTTAAATTTTACCATGTCTGAAGAATTTCTCCACTGTTTCCTTAGGCACTTCAGAGTACTATTGAAGCTTTTCAGCAGAGGAATGAAACTTTCAGAAATGCTATTGCTAAAGAATATGAAGACATGCCTGTTGAAGTCTCTGTAAGATGCTCTTATTCTTTTGTAACTTTCTTAATACCCATTGTGTTCTTCAATAAGTGGAAAAAGTTTGGCAGAAACTTTGTTTTCAAGCTCATCATTCTTAAAGCAGAGTAATCACAAAGCAGTCATCTTGTTGGTAATTGTTTTTCTTCAAAATGCCAAATCTTGTAAACGAGCCTCTTTCTTTCTTAAAACATGAAACAGAGCACCCTTTCAGTGACGCATCATGATTTTTGACTGGGCTCTTTGTTATTTCTTTTATAGATTTCAAAATGCATCTTGAGCTATGTTTTGTAATTCCCTTCCCAGAGGACGAGAATAACTATTTTCCCTATTTCAAGTACTGTGAAGTTTTTTTACTAGCTTTTAAAATTCTTTTCTCCTCCTCCTGGCCCTCAGAATGCTGAGCTTGGGAAGAGAGCGCCGAGGTGGATCCGGGACAACGAGGTCACCATGTGCATGAAATGCAAGGAGCCCTTCAATGCGCTGACGAGGAGGAGGCACCACTGCCGGGCGTGTGGACATGTGAGTGCAAACCCCCCTGCCTGCAGCTGCCCAGCAGGCCTGCCAGTGTCTCCAAGCACCTGCTTGGCTTCTCATGGCTCCTTGTCATCATTCTTGGAATGGCTTGGGCTGGGAGGGACTTTAAACATCATCCAGCCCCAGCCCCACTGCTGCGGTCAGGGACCTTCAGCAGACCAGGCTGCTCAGAGTCACATCCAGCCTGGCACTTGTAGCTGGAAGAAGCAGCTCTGCATACCACCAAGGACCTTCTCCTGCTTTAGTCATCAGAAGCACGTACACTTGTGTATAATGTCCTGCACACAGTATATTGTTAATTTTGAGAGAACTCTACTAATATGAAGAGTTTCATGACCATATTAAGATGTCATAATCCAGCATTATTTCAGAATATTGTTAATTTTAAGAGACCTCTACTAATATGAATAATTTCAAAACCCTATTAAGATGGCATAACCCAGCATTATTTCAGGCAGCACTGGCTGACTTCACCAAAAGACCATAAAACCCTGCAGTTTTTCATTAGGTTAACTTGGAGCTGCTCCCAGCTGGGTTCAGTGTGTAAGTCTGAACATGTGCAAAGCATCAGGGAAGGAGGGAATGTGAGGGTGGGGAGAGAGTATTGCTGCTGCTTTCCTTGTGGGATGCTACTGTAACATACCCAGCTTGAAAGCAACCATCAGGCAATGGGATTATGACTTGTGAGTTTTCAGAAGGTAACAAAAGAACAGCAAACATTCTGTGCTTTCTTCTCTTGCCATCTAGCAGCTCTGCCTGTCTCCACCAGATGGTAGTATAAGCTCAGGTTTAATACTTGTGGTACAGGGTGTCTTGTCTGATTTCTTGCTAATGTTTTTAAGTGGTATGAGGTATGTATTCATGGTATGCATTCATAACACTGCTTTTGTGCTTTGCAGGGCACAAGTGACTTTTTCAGAAGCTCTAAATTATTTGGTTTACAGTTGTCATAGAGGGTTTTTCCCCCAGATCTTTTTGTCTTAAAATTCTGTTAATGTTAAAAGCACACCCTCCCTTTTTATTTCCCTTTTTGTTTAGACTCCTAACTACTTCCCTCTATTATAGTTCTGTCACATCTCCTTGTGCTTTAATTTCAAAAGACTTTTTTCATGGGAGTTAATTTGGGCTAGCAATGATGGCTTTCCAGAAGTGACTAATTCGGAATACTTAACTAGGATTGCCTAGAGCTACAAGCTGAAGGTGGTGTACTAGATTAGCACTGCAAAGCCTTGGTCCACAATAAAGATTTGTTCAGTTGTCTTAATGGTTCAAGTCCATTCATGTACCCTTTTTTCTTGAAATAACTTCACTCATATTTTTTATTCAGGGCATCTTTTTTTCACGTGAAAGAAAAATTCTGTGGAAAAAACACTTTTAATGAAACAACTTTGATACCTCATTGCATTTCACTTAGATATATACTGAAAAGAAAAATCAGGAAAAATCAGTGGATATTGACTTACTTGTTCTGTGTATTTATGATTTGATTTTAAAATTGTAAATTTTATATGTATAGGGGTATATATACATCTAAACATGCTAATATTTCTTAACAAGGTAAAAAAGTAGCCATTTCTGATTTTATCAGACTTTTATCTTTAAAATGTCATATCAATTGTAGGTTTTTTTTTCATTCTCATAACCTCATTCTGGTTACATAGAAAACCAGGTGGTAAATGTACCTTTTCAGATTGGCATATAAGGAAACTGCCAGCATGGCTTGGGCTATATTCTGATTCTAGACCTAACTTGAAACTACAGATATAATTAAAAGCTGAATGTGATTTTATGCAAAGTACAAAATTCCCACCAGCTAAAAAGGAAGAGGTGCTTCTAGTTAAGAAGTAGTGGCACAAATTTGGAAAATCATTATTTTCAAATAAGTTATTGCTTATTATACAGACATCTTTCTTGTTCTGTATGATTAAAAATATATTACAAAATAGCTTAATACTAATTTTTATTTATATTTTAATAAAATTCTAGAAATACTTAAATATTATATGTTGGGTTTCTTTTCTAAGGTGGTTTGCTGGAAATGTTCTGATTACAAAGCACATCTCGAATATGATGGCAATAAATTGAACAAAGTCTGTAAGGATTGCTATCATGTTATAATTGGTTGTACAGACAGTGAAGAAAAGAAGAGGAAGGGCATCTTGGAGGTATGTGATTCAAAAATACTGTATATGTATAGCTGCAATCCTTTTGGTTCATCAGTAGGTGAAAAATGGTAGCATTCCTGCAGAGTTTATCTTCTCTTTGAGAAATAAAAAGTATGTGGATCAATTTCATATAATTCCCTATATTTTGGTTCCCAGCACTCACCTGTGGAAAATAGCTTTGTTTCTTGCAACTTTACATTTTTTAAGGGAATGTATAAATTATAATTTAATTATAATTATATAATTGTAAGAATTATAAACCTTAGAACTTGTTTGCTTCTTTCAGTTACATCAGCTCCTGTGACAAAATGTGACCTTCCCTTATAAATTTTCAGTTTTCTTCTTCTGCACTTAAGCTTCCATCGCACCAAACCCCACTGCTACCAGCTGGTTTTTGAAAATGTATACCCAGACTGAAAGTCTGGATGGAAACGAGGGGACTGGGGAGAATTTTGCTCTTCCTTCATAATCTGAGTAGTAAGATACTGTCTTGATCAGTGTATAAAATGGACCTTTAAGTTGTCAGGTTGTCCTCAGCTTTTGGCATCTGAAAAGTCAAGGTCAATGGAAATTTTAACACATAATAATTTTGTATTCTTTCTTATCATCTCAAGTTCACTATTTAATTTGAGTAGCGTTTTACGCTGTCTACAGATTTTAAGCAATTAATCCAATCTTTTCTCTAGGATTAGTGCTTGAATACTTATGTTATTCTTAAAAATGTGTTTGAACTTCATTTAGTCATAATATTTTGACTGCCAAAGTAGATAAGTTGTCATGTTGGATAGTTAGTGGCACTTCAGTGCCTAACATGGTTTTATTTTGGAAATCAGACATTGTTGTAGATGCTCAGATACAGAGAAAGGCTGGCTGTGGTGGCAAAATGAAAATTGGAGTGATATAGGAGTCTATAATCCAAAGTTATTGATGAAAAAAGGAACGGATTACACGTGCTAAGGGAATGTGTGTTGTGACTGCACATGTTTAATATATATATATTCTCAATAGATCCAGTTATTCGTGATCTATCTTGGGTATTTCCTGAAGCCTTTTTGCAGATACTGTCCAAGAGTTCATGTGAATGGCGATGTACTTCCTGCTTTTCTGTTCTTTCTGGTTTTAGTCTTTACTGAAGGAAAGTTTAGTTTCCTTTTTATGCTTTCTACTTCTCCTAGATTGAATCTGCAGAAGTCTCTGGAAATAGTGTCATATGTAGCTTTCTTCAGTACATGGAGAAGTCCAAGCCCTGGCAGAAGGCATGGTGTGTCATACCCAAACAGGAGGCTCTTGTGCTCTACATGTACGGTGCTCCACAGGTATGTACAGGGGAAATGGGAAAGACTTGAGTAATTATTGTCATGGTATTTGAGGAAGAGGCAGCAAATCGCTTGGGAATGGATGAAAGATCCAAGTGTTTTCACCAAACTGTACAGTAAATCAGAAGTAATGGGTAGATTAGTTGTCAGTTCTTAATAAAGAACTTCTTCTTCTTAGGATGTGAAAGCTCTGGCTACAATTCCTCTTCTGGGCTACACAGTGGATGACACTCCAAAAAGTGCTGACCTCCCCCACAGCTTCAAACTGACCCAGTCCAAGTCTGTGCACAGCTTTGCTGCAGACAATGAAGAACTGAAACAGAAGTGGCTAAAAGTTATCCATTTAGCTGTCAAAGGTGAGACACCAGAATGTCAAAATGAACTGCAAGTGAATTTAGAAGAGCAGCCTGAATCTTCTAAAAGATCTGAATTCTGAAGCACAGGAACACATGGCATTTTTAAAAAATGTTAGTTGAAATTGTGGTTAACCTTTGTGTTAACCTTTCTTTGCTCAATCAAGGAAAAAAAAAAAGAAAAAAAAAAAAAAGAAACTTCTTACTACCGTACACATCTTGGCACTTTATGTTTGGGAAAGAATTCTGGTCTTTTTAGGGATCTTTTTCTTATATTTATGTTCTGTCAATAAAAGTGATGTACAGGTCGATTTCAGAGACTTTTTAAAAAAATGTGAATGCTATTAAAAATACTTACTAACTTTACTGTACTACTTGTTCATTGTAATGCAATTTTTTTTTTTTAAATCCAGTTGCTCTTCAGTTAACATTTGCTACTTTCCTTAAGAATGCAAATATTTGAAGCTTCCTACTTACATGTTAGGACTTGCAACAGGATAAAAGATATACCTCCACATTGCCAAAATAGATCTGTACTTAAATATGCAGGGACAGTTTGGTTCAGTGTATGTAGTTTATAGATTGATTTCCATGGTTCTGTACATATGTTGTATTTACTTGTATCTTTTTAATTAAAGTAATGCAAATTGCTTTCACAGGTATATTGGCTTTTAAGGTTTCAGTTTATCAAGGAAACAATCTAATGATTTTCAATGTAGAAATAAATACCTAAAATATGAGAAAACTATATATAATATATGTACAGTGTTAAAAATGTACAATACTTGATTATTGCTTTGATTTCATGATACTGGGTTCTTATTAGTGAATAATTTATTTTTAAAAAAGCATGTTTTCTATTTGAAATTAAATACAGTCCTAAATTGAAAAATACTGTTCAGTGATTTGTTTTAATAGCTGAAACTTAATGATCTTGATATTTTTATGCATCAAAAAATTAGCAGTAATGTAAGTGGCATGCAATGGAGAAATGAGTTCCAGTTGTGATTAAACAAGTAGTCGCTTTTCTTCAGTGTCCTATCACTGTTAGCTTTTAAGAGTGCAGTAGTTTGTTGCTCAAATGCAGTATGTGGTTTGAGAAAAGCAACAGATTCTAGTAACCTTCTGGGAATGTGTATTTTTGCTATTATGGTTATTGGAGCAAAAGAACAATTTGAACTTAAGTTTTTTCATTTTTCTAGACGATTAGGTATTGTAATGCTTATTTATGACAACAGCATTCAAGGATTCTTGTTTTAAAGTGGAGCCTGGTTTATAAAAATTTCGTATGAAGTCTGAGCTTGCAAATCTGAAATTTTATGAACTAACATTATTTTTTTTCTGTTTCTGGGTATAAGGACTCACTGGCTTTACAATATTAAGCTCCTTATGAACTTCCATTCCTATTAGAATTTTTATACATAGAGACAAATGACTTCCATAAAATATTACTGTAATATCCTTTAGTGAAATATGGCAAAATCAGAGGTAGTGATTGACTATCAATTAAAATCATTGCTGTCTTTCCTTATTGAAACCTTTTAAGGAAGGAAAATATGTAACTTCTACAATCAGCTTGTCATAAGAACATTCAGAAGTCTTACTTCTCAATAAATCTGCAATTTGTATTTTAATTCATGTCAAGCTGAAGAGCTCAGGTTAACATGACAGATTTAAATTGTTGGATTTATATAATGAGTTTGCCAAGCAAACTGTCCACTGAACTCCTACTCCTGCTTTACTCTTTCTGCAACATTATAGGGAAAAAAAACCCAAAACCAACTCATTTTGCATTTAGCAAGGGACTCATACCTGTTTGTAGTGTCAAGCACACATGAGCATGCAGTGTCCATCATTCCTTCATAAGTATGTACCTTAATGTTAGTGGGATGGATTTTGCTCTCACCTGCACAGATCCAGGATCTACCATATCCTTTAGATTCCACAGCTTGACACTAGTGTTAATAATGATCAGGACACGGTACGGTACTAACTCTCCAGCTGACTTGGTGCATGTCCATTCTGAATTCTCTTCCTTGGGTGCTCCCTGGGTCCAGGGATTGTTCTGGATATAACCCTAGTATTGCTTTTATCTGATGTGCAAGCTCTTCTGAGCTTGCAAATCTATAATTCTCTGAGATTTTAAGTTACTTCTGCTGGCAGCTGTATTTACCTTTAGCAATGGGCAGCTCAAGCCTGGTTTGATTCATGTTAGTGAATACCATCAGATTTTTGCCAAGGTAATATAAGATCTCCCTAGCTAATATATGTAATCTTACATATACCTTGGCAAGGGATGGGGGAGCATTCAGGTAAGCAAGCAGAACTCTTGGTGGCTATCTTTCCTTCATGGCCATCTCCCAAGGGTGGGTATCTTCTACAAGAGCCTTAAGTGCAATTGTGGGATATGGAGAGTTTTCTTCCTACATCCCAATGTATAAAAAGTTTCCCATGGTCAAGGTGTTGAGTGTAGAGGAAGAAGTTGCTTTAAAGGAGTTCTCAGACAGGAAGGACTGAGCTATAGTGAAAATATGATGATATGACTGTAGAGTCAATTAGGTTGGAAAAGATCACTGAGCCCAACCATTGCCCAGCACTGCCAAGTCCATCACTAAACCATGTGCCACATCTACACACCTTTTAAATACCCTCAAGGATGGTGACTCAACCCTTTCCCTAGGCAGCCTATTCCAATGCTTCCCCTCTGTTTTGGTGACAAAATATTTTCTAAAATCCAATCTAAAACTCCCCTGGTGCAACTTGAGGCCATTTCATCTTGTGCTTATTGCTTGTTTCTTGGGAGAAGAGACCAATCCCCTCCTTGCCGTCATCTCCTTTCAAGGAGCTGTAGAGTGATAAGGTTCCTCCTGAGCCTTCTTTTCTCCAGGCTGAACACCCCCAGCTCCCTCAGCCACCTCTCACAGGACTCATGCTCCAGACCCTTCACCAGCTCTGTTGCCTTTCTCTGGGCTTGCTCCAGCACTTCCATGTCCTTCTTATCCTGTCTTTCATGTCCCAGAACGGGACATGGCATTTGAGGCATAGCCTCGCCTGTGCCAAGTACAGGGGACAGCCACTGCCCTGGTCCTGCTGGCCACACTGTTGCTGGTACAGGCCAGGACACCCTTGGCCTTCTTGCCCACCTGGGCACACACTGGCTCTTGTTCAGCTGCTGTCAAACCAGCACTCCCAAGTCCTTTTCCACCAGGCAGCTTTCCAGCCTTTCCTCCCCAAGCCTGTAGTGCTGCAGGGATTGTTGTGACCCAGGTGCATGACCCAGCACTCAGCCTTGTTGAACCTCTTTGAGCTGGCTTTACCCATTGATCCAGCCTGTCTGGGTCTCATTACAGAGCCTTCCTGCTCTCCAGCAGGTCTGCATCCTACCCAGCTTGGTGCTGTATAGTACATTCTGTTTCCTGCTGCAAATCTCATTCTAAGCCAGGCAGGGAGCCCCATTCCAGTTAAATGGTTAGAAGTAGCAGTTTCTGTGCTGCCTCATTGTTAGAGTGGTATTGAGCAGTTGAAGCTACTTGAATGGCAGCATCTCCCAGATGAAGGCCAGCATTTGGGCACAAGCAGTTTGAAATGTGAGTTGTTTGTTTGGATGTTAGCCTCACGTTTGCTCTTGGCCATTAAATTTTATACAGCACAGGATATTTTATTTATCCTAGTGAAACCTGTTTCATGTTCTCATAATCAATTGCTTGGTCAGAATTGTTCTCTTCTGAGTCAGAATGCCTTGGCACTCAAATACACGGTTTTGTGGGAAAAGTATGTATTACCAATATTAAAGGACATCAGAAGATAGAGAAACTCTAAATTTAACCAACCTGCTGTCTTCATTCTCCACAGACAAGCCCTCCTAAGAACAGCATCCCAAACTTACACTTTAAATTGTAAATTATGACTGCAGAGGAACAAATACAAAGTTGTAGCTGCTGTGGTTTAAGAATTATGACGAAAGCAGTGAAATTAAAACCATTATTCTAACAAGGTAGAAGCTGTTCCCATTTGAAATAAATTCTTAAATTCTTCAAGGAAAAGAAAAAGGCATTAAATGTGTGAGCATAAAGCTGTGTGTGTAAGGAATAAACTGTAACTAAGTATTCGTTCATAATGCATAAATGCATGTGAATGGCTCTGCTGCATTAAGTTTTGCAACTCTTGTGTTCAAGTAATGCCTTGTTTCTCACTTTAAAAGTGATCACTCTTCTGTATGATTTAAAGCAGATCAAAAGTTATTTTAGTGGTTTTATCTGTGTTCAACCAGAACAAGATGAAAATTTATCATTCATATTTTTGGATCATAGCAATATATTTTTTGAAATTACTTATTTTTTCCCCATACCATGGGAATAGTGTATCATGATATCTTCATGTCTGCACCATTCCTCCAGACCCTCTAAAAATTCTTGTTTGGTATCAGGTACTCTTACTTGGTTGAAGAGCTGCTATAAAACCTGTATTGTGTAGTATTTTCAAATCCCTTTATGACGAGTAGTTTTGGTTTTTTTCTAAGTGTATTTAACTTATATGTGCAAAATAGATATTGACAGTAAAAAACATTCTCTTTGGAATAGAATATTAAACCACTTTAATTGCATGTATATATGGTAGCATCTTTTTATGCAAAACCATCTCAAAGTGCTTTATAAATCTCCTCAAAGATTCTAACCCAAGAAGATTTTTATTGCTCATGTTTTTAAGTTATGGATGAAGGCAAGGCACTGATTAAATACAGAGTAAATACACTACCACCTAAGTAAAATTCAGGTGAGATTATAGAAGTATGCTCCATAGACTTCCAAGTGGAGTCAGAAGGAAAAAGAATATATTAAAACAAGTGAGAAAGTGGAAACACTTGACAGGTTGTTTGCGTTCCTCACCACATAGCTAGTATAAAAAAATCATCAGTTTTTCATTTCAAGGAAAGATTAAATAAAATTAAGAGAAGGTAGTTATTTCTTATACTGAAGGAAAGACTTTCTGGAAAGAAATAAACATTCCATGTAAAAATAACCCTAAGCAATAACAAAAGGTCTTTCTCCATGTAGCTGGTATAAACTAGCATGGGCCTGCTGGAGCTATTATACCTTCAGTGTTTTAAATTCACATAGAATCTGCCTTACATTATATAAGAACACTTCTGGAAGGTGAAACTTCCTAGTTAGGGAGGTGCTGAGACACCAGGTCTCACCTGGACTCACAGAGCTCAGGTGAACCTCAGGTGGAGGTAATGGATGTAGGGATGGATGTAAACGACTGGAAATATATATCCAAAAGTAAATGACTGGAGAGAAAAATTTTGTGGCAGAACTCACTACCCTTAAGGTAAATCCATTGGTGAAATGGGCATCATTCTTAGTCTCTGTGGTGTACTGTTATTTGAAATCTGAAATTAAATACATGGGGTTAATGCTTTTTGCTCTCGTCTGTGGCCCTGTTGGTTTGAGGAATTTACCTAGCTGGTTCTGACCCATGGGACTGTAGTCTGTTCCTCAGATAGGAGTTGTAATCTGCTAGTCAGATTGTTTCCTAAATCCTTTCCATTTGACAGATGATAACATTAATTTAATGGTTACATATGTGTGTGTATATACACATGTGCACATGTGTGTGTGTATATGTATATATGTGTATTTATATATTTGAGACTATTATTCAGATGACTTGTTTTCAAGCAGTATTTTACAATCAAAAAAATACACTGTGCTGCATTCAAAATAGAATGTATAATGACTGTGTTAAGTATGCTTTCCAGAAAAATATGGAGGTAGATCTGCTATTGTGGCATGTTTACTATTTCAGCCTATAAAAATAAACACAGAAGCCCTGACAAACATGCTAATTCCAGTGAGGCATTTCAATCAGCTTCCTTTGAAACCTTGTGATTAAATTTCTTCCCAGAATAAACTATGGCATTTTGTTTCACCCCTTCCTCGTCTTAGCATAAGTGAATCTAGAACGTGCTTTTTTTCTCAAAATCCTCAAGCAGATATCTTTGAATAAAACATGTTTTCAGCCACTGTATAACACCAACCTACTTCTGTTTGTACTTCATCCTCGTAGATTCATTAAGTATTTATGGTGGAAACATTCAGAAAAGAGGGAACTATATCAAAGCATTTTTGCATCTATGTGCCCTGGTGTTTTTAAGCCAAATTTGTTGCACATAGAGATCAGTTTGCAATAGAAATACTATTTTTTTCTACCAGTGTATTTTCTATTCTGCAGCCCTTAAGGCAGATTAATACAATAATTTTAGTGGGAGCTGTATCAGCTGTAATGTTTGACATCAGAGTTACAGGCTATACATGTTCATTTTCCTTCATTATGGAAGCATGTCTGATTTTAATTGCAAAAAGATTTTCTTTAAAAAAATAATAATTGGAAGCATTGTAAATTTGTTTTGGTTTTGCAATAAAGTGAATAATACTAAAAAGGTGAAATACAAATGCCATTGTAAGTTGTGCAAATGTAAGTCATCATTTTTATGGTTAAGAATGGTTATATGAATGTAAAAAAGTTGAAGATATTGTACATTTTTTCTGTAATATATGTACATTTGATCCTAAGGTGGGTGGAGAATTGTAAAAATGAAGCACTTTAATTCATGCTGAGTACTTAAAAAGAACAGAAATTTGTATCCTGTAAAATAAAAGCATCATTAAATAAGTATTGCTGGTTGACTCTTTTTTTTTGTCCACCTACCCATTTTGCTAATAAAATCTTTAAGCTGTATTTCTTGTTGTGTGTGACAGTGGGGACCAGTTTTGGAACACTGGTATCTAATTTGCTGAAGTGCTGGTTTCTCACAAGTACTGCTGAGTTGGTGAAAGATGTATTCTGAGTTTATAAAGGGTGTATTTAATGCTATGACATCCTAGGTGGGAAAGATAAATGACATCTGCACAGTTTGGTCCAGATTTCTGTAATGGGAATGTGCCCAGTTCGTTATATGAGTGCTTTGTGGATTTCTGTACCTCCATCCCCATAGAAAAGTGCAAAAATAAAGGAAATTGTTCAGCAGAGCCCCAAATCTTTCTTAGTATTACTCAATACTAAACGATCAGCGTGATCTCATGCACTGAACTAAAGTGGTGCTGAAAAGCAAAAAATGATCAGGTAATTAGATGGATGTGTCCTTTAACAGTCCAAAACTGGTTGCAGTTGCCTCTGATTTCCGTCATCGGCACACATTAAACCTGTTTTGATTGTATCTGATTTATTCTTGGTATTATTCTGCAGGTGAGCACAGTGTTGCAGAAAACACAGAAACACAAAACAGAGGAAAAGTTACCATAGTACTTGGTAGTTCCTGATTGGAAAGAATTGCGTACAAGAATTTTTCTTTCATTTCTACATCTTCTTCTCTTTGCACATACCGTAAACAAATCAGTATTTGAAATAAGCACTGATTAACCACAGAAACTAATGCCTCCCTTTCTGTTTATCTAACTTACTGATTTTTTTTTATACTGTACTCTGTTCCAAACCTCATTTAGCCTATTAAGCACAATGCAATGTCTTCTGCATGGAGACAAAAATAATAGCATTTACCCTATAAATGTGCTTTAATAACAGAACACAATTATAAAACTCAAACTACAGGAAATGTGGCACCACAGGTCCTACTTAATTCCCTTAAATCAGCAGGGTTGATAAGCACTGGTATTTCTATGTGGCAGCAAATTGTCCAGAGCCCATCAGGTTGGTGAGGAAGTGGTAGGCGTTGCTCCTCTGGCTTTCCTGAAGTGCCTGACTAACACTGCCTCATTACCACAGAATTGTTCTTGACATTGCATGAACTTCCTGACATGAGAGAAGACCAGCCTTTGGTAAACACAGTATTGGGAGCTGGTTTGCTCTAAATAAATTGCTCTAGAGGGTCCTGTGGTGTCTTGAATGGACAAGCAGAGGGATCCTTATGATTGTGACCATTTTGCTTGGGAGCTGCTCACCCCCTGCCTTCTGCAGAGGGATCCCTGTTGAGGTGAACTCTCTGTGTGTGGAGACACGAGGCTTGACTCCATGTTTCTCAGAAGGCTGATTTATTATGTTAAATATTATATTAAAATACTACATTAAAACTATACTAAAAGAACAGAGAGAACAGAGAGATCAGAAGGCTACAAAGAACAAGAATAGAATAGAATAACAAAATCCTGTGACTGCTCACAGCCTCGGCACTGGTGGCTGTGATTGGTCATCAATTGAAAACAATCCACATGGACCAATGGAAGATGCACCTGTTGCATTCCACAGCAGCAGATAGTAATTGTTTACATTTCTTTCCTGGGGCTCCCAGCTCCTCAGGAGGGGAAAAATCCTAGGAAAGGATTTTTAATAAAATATCATAGCTACAGATCCTTATGATTGTGACCATTTTGCTTGGGAGCTGCTCACCCCCTGCCTTCTTGGCCTTGTGCACCAGGCAGCCATGGCAATATTTAGCCTCACCAGACCCAGTTCTTGTGTTTAGTTCCTTGAGGAACGCCATGTCTATGTTGCATGGTGCTGTTTCTGTCTCAAAAACACAATGCTCTGGTGCCATGAGCAGGATGTGCTGCCTGCCCCAGAGTTGACATGGCCTCCAACCATCAGGATCTTACCAAGAAAATTCATTAATACTTTCAACTGCCAAATTTCAAATTTTTTTTTGTTTGCTAAATGAAGGAAATTACTGCTGTCAGAAGCATTTCCTTATGGAATAGATCCTTAACTGGGAATCTAGGGTAAGATGAATTTCCAGATCCAGATCTTCATACCAATTTTACTGAATACTACCTTATTTAATTTACAGATTCCAAAGGTTTCTGGATTTGATTTATGTATTTGTAACATTAAAATAACACATGGCTGAAGAAATGGAGATTATCCTGGGAGCAGAATCTGGGATTACTCTCTGTTTGGCCACTAGTAGCCTGATGGTCTCTTCTGCCTCTTCCTATTCCTGTCTGGGAGCCAGCCAGTCACAGCACTCTTGCGTGGAGAACATGGAAATTAACTTTCTCTTGGGTTCACTGGACACTGAACTTGTACCTCTGACTCTGTGAGCTTGTGTTTGGAAACAAGACTGGAGGTTTGTGCTCTCTTTTGAGCATTTTAACATCATATGCATGACTCACTTTTCCAAACTCTAGGTAAAGGGAAATTCCTGCTTTGGGGAAATGATTTTAGACTCTGACTGCTGCTGAACAGCGGAGCCTTCTCTCAGCGTGAAATTAAATTAATGAGCCTGCAATGAAAGAAGACAGGATTTCATTGTAGTTCTGTTTCGATGTACTGCCTGGCATGTAGAACCACCTGCATTACCTCTTTTGTCTTACTTGAGTATTCCTTGCAAAGTAAATCCAAATATCACAGCTCGAGGTTCTGGGACACAGCATTTGTAAAAGGTCTGCCACCTTATCTATTTTGTATTTTGGAAGTTGATCTCAGACTAGCACTAAGTTGGTCCTATGAGCTGAATGCCCTTTAGTTGCTGAAGTGCCTCCCACAGTTGTGTTTCACATGGAAAGACCTGCATCCCTGTGCCTCAAGATGAATCTGCAGTGCAAAGCAAAGCATGGCAGGTGAGACATGAAGTGTCTGCTATCATTACTCTTACAAGCAGGGTGTGATGTTGTAAATCCCATATGCTCAATTGTTACCTTGCCAACTTAAAATTGTGCCAATCATAAGCAGCATGCACAATAAAATGTGTATCACAAGAATAAGAAATGCTCCTCTTGGCATACTATTTTGCCTTAAAAAGATTACAGGAAATGGTCTTCTTTAACTACTAGATCCAGAAGTAGAAGATACAAGCTCAATTCCTCCTGAATACCAACAAGTTTTGGTTGAGGTAAGGTTTGGTTGGGATAAGATTTTTTATTTTCTGTTTATGTTGCCTCGGTTGAATGCTAAGTGTGTATTTTGTTTAGCAATAAAAGTTACTCACTTGATAGCAGACAGGAGGTTATTGCTTTTATTCCCAAAACCTTTGTCCTTTAACATAAAGAGTCTTCACCTGAAAACTATAAACCATTGGGATGGTGAAAATCTTTTATTGAAGCAACTGTTTCATTATTGTGTTTGTTATTTCAAGTGACCACCCCAGCTGCAGCAACGAGGGAGCACTGCTGTACAGGAATCCATGAGGATACAGATTTTACTTTCATCTCCAACCTAAGTTTTTATCTCTTTTGGTCCTGTGATAAAAGCTGATGTCTTCCAAATACCAAAGCGCTTGGGCTTTGTTACTGATTTATGAGGTTCGACTGCTGTGCTTGCCTTGTGGCTCTTGACCTCTGCTCTCCCCTCCCTTAACTTGAAACATGCTTTCAGTTTCACAAGCAAGTTTTACCAGAAGTAGTCTGACACCCCAAATCGTCAGTGGATTTTCATAAATAACTTCCTAGTGTTCAGATTAAGAAAATATAAGGAACTCTCAGTTTTTTAGTTCATATTGTCCAGCAAAGTTGCATCCCCGCCCCAGGATAAGTTTGTTTTGTCAGAGACTGGGTGTCAGCACAGGTAACATGTTCCTCACACTCAGGAATTCCTATCAGCACTGTGATTTCTTACAGCCAGCCAAAGCACGTAGGAGAGCTTGCTTTGCCAACTCAGCAGAATTCCTGAAATATGGATTTCAAACCTCTGACTTCTGTTGCTTCTGGAAAAGAAATAAAAGAGCAAGATTTAGAATCTCTCAGCCTGGGAAATCTGTGTAGAGCAGCCAAACAAAGGGTCATTCTGTCAAGGGATTTCAGGAATTTATTTATCTCATCTTCTAATGGTGCCTGGTGTAAGAAATTGTTACAGTTACATCTGTGACAAGGTTGCTTTGGAGAATACAGAAACACCATTCATTCAATTTGACTTCACATAAAATCTGATCTCTGCCAGACCCATATAATTGCTGTGCTGCATGGTTCCAAAAGGTGACATTAGTAAGGAATAATTTATAGAACTATTTTCCTAATGGTGTTTTTGCAGCATAAAGCAGTATGAATGCATGAGGCACAATTGCTACGTTACATACTTGATATATTTCAGTAATAATTCTCTAGACAAAAGAGGATGTCAGGAAAAATGCTTTGCTGAGGTGCTAGTTTGTGGTTTCTTGTCTGGCAAAAAGGAACTAAATGGCAAATGACTTGTCTATTACTGTCAGTATGCCAATAAAAAAGCCTCAGCTATCTAAGAAAAATGGAAGTAAATGATGATGCAAAACTAAAAAGAAATTCATATCATGGAGAAGAAAGTCTGGAAATGCTCTCCTGATGTCAAACATAAAACCGAGGAGGCTTATGTGGAAATTAGAAGAAATACAAAATTCATATAAAATTGAATTTTTGCATTATATATAATTAGGTAATGAAATTTACCACCAGAGGTTGTCATTGGAGCCAAGAATTTAGTGTGATGGGACAAAAAACCCTATTATATGTTAAATAAAGCAATCTAGTTTGCAGGAACATGGAAGAAATATTGAACTGTCTACTTCAGATCTTACAGCAATATCAAAATAATTTAACATACAGTTTTGGAATGATCTTATTACTGCATTTTTATATTTTCCCCAGAGGGCTAATGCTGGAAGGTCTTAGATGAGGTCCTGAAGTAGACTGACATCAGGTCACATTTGGTGTGGCAGTTCCTGTGTCCTCATGTCAATTAACTTCAATAAC